ATTGCTTATGAAAAAGTTTAAATGTGATCGACCATATCTAAAGTGTTATTGAAGCCTTCATAAAATCCTAATCCATAAACTAATAAACTCAGAATTAAAATAAAAGTTTAAAAATAATTTTATACTTAAATGATAATCCCAGAAGGAAATCATCTTTTTTTTTTTTTTTTTTTTTTTTTTTTTTTTGGTAAGATATCTTTATTGTTTCGAGCTATATATCCACATATTCAAATATTATTTATCAAGGGGAAAATATATATTCCATTTTCTGTTTTAAAAACAAATTAAGTACAAGGAAGCCTCTTATTGGTGACCATCTATAAAAGTGATTGGTATTTCTGAGAATGGCAGCTATTTACTTAGCAGATCAAACTTGTCTACAGTAAAAGATTGTTGTTTTAAAAAAAGACTCACAGTATTTAAGGCATTCAAATTTCACACAGATAAAATAATTAAATTTTATATTCAACTAATAAATTCCAGTGAATTGTTTAAATGAAGATAGCGAATAGAAAAATTGTAAATCCCTCAGAATATTGACTAGCACATAAAAAGCGCAAAATCGCATTCTGTAGCTTAGCAATCGTTAACTCTTATCTTTCAGATAAAGCATTTCCTGAAATCCATTTTTATTTAAATTAAAAATATTATTACTTATATTGAGATAAACATTGTGAAATGAATCTATCACACAGCAAGCTTCAAACAGTGGCTTCAGTACTCATTTCATGCTGTTATAAATATATTTGCTCTTCTGTGTAATATTATTAAATGGCCAAGTTTAAATGCAAGTCTATTTGTACCTTATAGTGTCTTACGTTTTGGTGGCTCATAAATTTGCATTTTTCGTTACATTAAACTCATATAATCAAGTCTCGCCATACGATTTAGGTCGACGAAAATAATACAAGACCTTTGCCGGACAAAATGGGCCACATGGCATGAGGCATACCATAATTTTTATCAAAAAAGTTTTGATATAATTTAAGCCCTAAGGTTCATTGTGTGTTCAACCAAACCAGATGCTTATGTGCATAATCAACGGAGTTGCACAATGTAAGCGAGACGCTATGGTTCTGCCAAATTCAATCATTTCATGTACTTTCATTGTAACATTATTAACAGCATATCATTATCTATCTCATTTAGAAGGAATTGCAGCTAAACTTCAGAGACGACCTGTTGATATTGCAGTTTATAACATGGTCCAGGAAATAACTAATTTTTACATTTCTGAGCATGAAAATGTAGAAAAGAGTTTTGAGAGTAAATTTGATCATACTTGGGCAAATGTGTAAAAAATTAGATGTAGAGTTTAAATTGCGACACATCATTCGGAAGCAAGTCTATTGAAATAATGCTGATGTGATTCAGTATTATGATTGTTTAATGAATACAAAACTATTTTAGCCATTCCTTTACTTGAACATTTAATTTTTTATTTAAAACCTCAATTTTCTAATTTAGAAAAGACCGCATCATCCCTGTTTTTCATACTAACATTAGTTTGCGCTTATCATGTAAATGAGTTGAAGGGGATATATAAAGATGATTTACCCTCTCCGGAACTTCTAAACAGAGATGAAACATTGACGACGAAGCAAATCTCCCAGACACACCAGTTTTTTCTTTAAAAGCTTTGAATAAAATCTTTGCCCCAAATATTCATATGCTTTTGCCTATAGCAGCTACACTTCCAATAACATCTTGCGAATGTGAACGTTCCACAGATGCTTTTCAAGGTTAGAAAATTATAATAGTGCTATTATGACAAAAGAGCGCAGAAATTCTTTGGCATTCATTATATCAAAGAAATCATTTGACAAAGTTATTGATATATTTGCCAGTTTACAGCTACGAAAAATTGCCGAACCAAAAAAAAAAAAAAGGCCTGAAAAATGTTAGTATTTTTTTATTTGCAATTTAAATTCGTGTTCAAAATAAATGATGCATTGACAACTTTTATGCATCTAATTCAATATCTTTATTATATAATTTTAAACAGAAATTTGGACTTTATATATTTATTTATAATTTTATTATGAAACCAAAGTAGCTTAATCTCAAAATTCTTTTAATATTTTATAATTTTAAATTTAAAAACAAAAAATATTGAGTTCTGCATTTAATGTTTGTAGTTATAATTATGATAGTCAAATGCAATATATTCATAATTTTGTTACATAATTTTATAAAAGAAATTCATAATACAATTATTTATATTAAGATAATTGCCATTAATATAATATAATTGTCGGGTAATAATTATATACTCGAAGATGCTGCAATAGGTAGAACAGTACAGGCATAGGAGTCTTAACGGCCTAGCCTCTTTGGTACAACTTACTAATTTCTCTTAATGAAAGATTCTCATTCATTCTCAAATGCATGAACCTGAAAACTATATCAGCAAGTTTTTAAAGAAAAATCCTTAAACCTGAGTAAAATATTCATTTTTTATTACTGAATATGAAAAAAATGTCTGAAGATCCATCCAAATCAACTTAACAGGAGGAAAACTGAAAAACCACATACAATCAGACATATCTTGCCAAAAACTACTGGAAGCACCAATAAGAAGGAAGTCTGCTGCAGATATTTCATAAAAACACTTATATTTATCAGTGATAGTACATTTTAAAATACGATTACTTATTTGGAACAGTAAATTGAAACTGAGAAATTTTTTATATAATTGGCAAGCAAGACATTACAAGAATAGTATAGATAATAGCTTCTACATCTCACCACAGAAAACATTTTGCTTTAACATGACACTAGGATAGATATGGCAGAAGACACGAGGTATTCGTAAACTCTACAACTCAGCAAAAATAAAGTCCAAAAACATTTTTGACACACAAGCCATGATTGTCAAACATAACTGTAGCCCATGATCAAAAGTTTCTCCAAGAAAACTTATTACATAATCATCACATGCCGACTAACAGCCAGGAAATCGCATGAAAATATTATGGACAGTAATTCTATCAAATCAAAAAAAATATTCTAAGTTTTTAGGCTTAAGTGAAAAATGGAAGAAGGAAACAAACATTTTCTTTTGTTACCAATGAAAAGGCTTTTAACGGAAATTGTTCCAATCATTTATTTGAATTTAGACAAGTTATACTTTGTTTCATAGCAAGTATAAATTAAACAAATTTGGAGATACCACCACTAAGTAGGTTACCTCTTCTCAGCCAATATTGCCATCTTTTCACAATGAAACAACTTTAATGTTATAAAGCTTCACCATTATGAAATGAAATTTTGTACATCAGTAAATACAGATAAGATGGATGTTTTAGTTCCAAGTCTTCATGCCAAAATTAATATAAAGAAAATGGAATCTGACCAAACTTATTTCCTACTTCCATTACGTATCAATGTCTAGCAGCTATGCTAGGCATAGGAAATATACCAATTAACGATTCAAGACTTTGAAATTTCATTTTTTATATTTAAATTAAACACTATTATTTTGTTGTGGTAATTTTCCATTTCAAGTATGATTCAGTAGTATGAACTACTAGACAGAAGGAAAATACAAATTGGAACTCCCTGATTAAGCAATGTTACGAATTTTGTACATAGAAGGGCAATTTTAGTGCAATTATATGAGAAATCTTATTTTTCTGTGTAACATAACATGAAAACTCGAGAGACAAGATATGCTGGAAAAGTAAAGATAGGGCAAGTATGTTAAATACAGTACAAAGTCCGTAATTCGGATGTCCATTATCCGGAATGATCTATAAATCCGGACCTCAAGGCTAAACTTTACGCATGCATGTAGAAAATGCGCATGCATTACGAGCACATGCTTTATGCATGTGAGTGTTGAAAGAAATGTTTAATGAAGTAAACAAATAAATATTACGCTTTTTTTTGTAAAATTTGATACCCTTTAGATCACAATTGCTTTTTATTTCATAAATTACAATTTCATACTTTTAATAGTATAATTTCTGCATGGCATCTTACCAGATTTAAATTGATAATCTATAATCCGGAAAAACCCCTAATCCGGAATCGCTGAAGTCCCAACCAGTCCGGATTATGGACTTTGTACTGTATAGAATAAATGGGCTTCTCTAATTTGGCAAAATATCGTCAAGCTGGCAACGGTAGTCGCCAAATTTGATGACATTTTGGTCTGGTTTCTGTATCAAGTATTGTAATTGATCACTTTATTAGCTGTAACTGTAATTCAACCCTCACATTGTCTTTCGGTAATTTTAAGAAGCAGAAAATACTAGAAATATCTCAGTGGCTGGCTGAAAACTATATAAGGCTGGTGAGATGATCTGATTAGAGTTGTTCTTAGCTCAGCACGAGTTTCAAGTACTATTGCTGGTTTAGCTTCGTTCTTTAGCTGCACTTTACATTTAACATTCATAGTAGTTTAAGGTGCATTGTGATAGCGTAAAGAGTTGCAAGACTATTTTTGTGGAAAGTTCCGGATCTCTGAAGTGTTTCTTTTGCTAAAATAATTTTTATCAACCTATTATCAGAGCTGTGCACATTCAATCCATTATAAACCTGTATGCACACAACAATAAGTTCACTGGGAATTTTGAGCTAGTTAAAAATTTGGGTAGAATTTCAATATGCATAAGGTTACCATTCTTGATTGGCTATGTCTTAGACTAGTATTGCTTTATGCTTTGGCAACTTATAACAGTAATATTTATGATACTGTAGGTGTTTTAGGTGATCGTATGTTGAGCAAAAGTCTGCAACATGTGAATTCTTAACACTTCAAGGTTTATGACAAATGGAAAAACTTCAGAAACATTTAGCAATTGATATCAGATTCTTTAAAAATAAACTATTTTTTAAATCTGAAATAAACTAATTAATCTGTCAGATGGTTTAGTCTTCATGAAAATTTAATGGGGGTGCTTTAAATAATGTACTGGTTGTTTAGTGCTTTGGTTATTATTTAGCTTGTGTTGAAAAGCACTGATGTAAAATACATTAAAAAAAAAAGAGAACAATTACATATTTTAAACAATTTATTTTCAAGATAAACAGCATTAACCAATACCAGGTTTTTTATGTACATATTTTATCCCTGGGTGGTCAAACATTTATAGCATATACTTTTTTTTAAATGAAAAGTGGCACAAAAAACTAAGAAAATGCAATATTGGAGACTCATCTAATAACATGTAAAATTATCAGGAAATACTAAAATTGAATATTGTACGATACAATGCAGTGATTACTCAATCAGATGGCATTTAATTACATAATTAAAACAATGCTTTTAGATGACTTAAAAAACAGCACTTATTAGCCTAGAATAGAAAACAATAGTGAAAGGCAGAAAAAATTACAGAATTTTAAATGCTGTTAATCTAAGAGTTTAAAGCTAGAGAGCAAACAATATGTATGCTATAATATGATTCAATTACAGCCAATTTTCTGCAAAATTGAAATGTCTATTTGACTTTCAGTATGTAGATCTACAGCATTTCCTAAATATCAAAGTTAAATTAATGAATTTATTTTCACAACCTAATTAAATCAAATACATGGTAAGATGTACAACCATACAAGAGCGATTTGAGATGTTCTCAGTCTCGAACTGTAAAAATATCAAATGACAATAAATTAATCAGAAAAAGCATAAGTCTAATTTATGATGAGTCACCAGCATTTTTCTGCATTTTTCACATATATTTATAAAAAATAAAACATTGAAAATGTTATATACAAAGAAAATTTGAAAAGAAAAGATTTACACATTGAGCTTTTAAACCATGAAATGCAGACATGTTATTTCAAACAGATTTTATAGAACAAAATTAAGTTTCATCCCCCCTTCAGAATGAATCTCTAAGGCATTGAACAATGGGAGCTCAAACTTCATGTGAAAAATGAGAAGTATTTGCAAAATGAGGCACATATATCCTACAACCCAATATGGAAATTTTGCATGTCATTCTCAAATAAAATCTCTTAAATCAAGGCTTTAAGAAGTCTGAGCAAAGAAATGAGATTTATTTATATTTGATTAGTCTAAATTAAGTATTTGAAAATTTTGGTATTTAAATATCAATGCCTTTAGTGATACCTGGAAAATTGACAAAGGGGGTTAACTAAATGCTTGCTGCATTGTAATAAATTTTAAAATAACTTTTTACATATTTAGGTAACAAACTTGTTCCAATATACTTTTGAAATACTTTTAAGTAGTTTCATTTGTTGCTTTACATAAAAGAAATTGCAAAAAGTGAACATCTTCTCGGTTACTTAAAAACACAATACACGCATATAAAGCAAATAAGTTTTATCTGTTCGATAAAACAACTCAGCCCTACTGAGCATATGTTATGATAAAAAAATGAAAAGTTGAGCAATCCATAAAAGGTTACTTAGGAAGCATATTGCTAAGTTTCACAGCAGCCATCACCTCCAGTCTTAATTTCTCAGCACTGAACCAGCAGTGACTTCTGGGATAACAATAAGGCATTTGTCACACTTAAAATTTAACGTTAGCTGTAATCGAATAATTCAACATAAACATCTAATAACATTTGATTAGCAGTATATAGTTCTAGTGAACATTTTCTCACAACTGATAGTTTACAGTTCTATCACAGCCTGGCAGTATGGCCATTATTCAAAAAATTTAAGATAAAAATTCAACTTTTCAAATAGATTGTAAATCATTTAATATATCTTTACCTCCCATATAATTTCCTTCTTTATGTATATATTAACTCCTTGCAGTTTTAATATTTGAGCATATCTGCAATGTTTAGATTAACCAGACATTTTGTCTCTAGCAAAGCAAAAAACCAACTTAAATGAATACACATTTCCATAATTTGTCACATTTTATTATTATAAATAGATATTAAACCAAGTTCTTTCCAGTCTTTTTAGTTCAATTCATTAATGAACAAAGTGATACAATTAGCACTAGTTAAATATGGAATAATGGCCAATAAGAGTGTCATCAGGCAAAACCTTGACTGAGATACATAACTAGAATATAAGAAAATATGTTATATGCACAGCATTATCTTAAGGCACCTGCCACATTTAAGTTTTGGTCCACTTTTAAAAACATGAAAAATTCAGCCAGGTCTAACTTATGACCAGTATGATACTTAATATGCAGGGGAAGACTTAAAAATATATATAATCCAGTCAAACTGTCGTCATTACATTAAAATAAAAATCCCAGCAGAGAATCCTCTGAGCAGAAATAATTCAAACTTTTATACACGTAACACTTTAAAGATTGTGAAACAATCAAATCATTAACACAGATATGGGAGTACATTTACAATGCAATATGCAAAACTTCTGTAGTGAAGGAAGCTGCTTGCAAAGGTCTTGGACACAAACTGTCTTCAAGGCTGATCTCAAAACAAAGGCACAGCTCCATCTGAAATTTAAAATTAAACATTCATGAGAAGTTTATAATGAAAAGTTTAGTATACAACATTCGAATTTTTCTACTTTGTATATAACATGCAAGTCAGTATTACAATACATAATCTTATAAGCAACACTAACACTGAAAGAATTTTACAAAATGTAAACTTTAAACAGGCATTCTTCTGACCTACTGGAAAAAAAAAAAAGGGGGGGGGAAGAGAACACTGAAAAGACTACACATTACTTTAAAAGTACAATGACTTATTACAGCTGGATTCTTTATCCGCAGTATCCCTTATACCCTTGCTTCTCTTCTACCAAGCGTTTTAAACAATAAAGTAAAATTAAATTATTTCTTCAAGCAATCAAACATGATCTAATTAAATATTAGTTGCTACAAAAACAATCAACTGGAGTATGTGATACAGTCAATTTCAGCTTGGTCATGAAAATGCTGGGAAACAACATCAAAAAAGACCAAGACAGCATAAAGTTTTATATTCAACATGGAGTATAAAATCCCAATTCCTCAGACTATTTAAATTATATTGGTTTATAAGGAAAATTTCCCACATATATCATAAAAACTCAAGGTAAGAAATAATTTAATATGAATATTTAAAGATTTAGAAACAAAACTCTTATTTTAACTTATTTTGCACAAGTTACACAGTTGCATAAGTTAAAAATTTCAATATTCAAATCAAAAATTTAAGAATTGAATCATAGTAAGGACTTTTAGGATTTTAATAGCTGTGTATCTTCCTGGTAATTTTTTTTTTTTGTTTTTTGGGTTAGCATATGAATCATTTGAAAGCACTCCCAATGTGCTCTTTTACAGGTTTAATCTGTCAATAGCCCCATCCTCACAACCATCAAAACACCCATTCACACAGTTACAGTTACAGTTCTTGGTTCATTCTGACTAAGAACATCTGATAAACTGTCGTCAAAAACTTCAAAATCTGATGTAAACACCTATAGACACTGCATAAAATATACCATTGTAGACACAATATATCAAAACCTGTGTCATCTAAAGACAGCATGTAGAAAACACAAGTTATTTTGTAATCTGGGTTCATAACAGATGGTACATGAAACATGAGTAAACTTGTGATCACTTGCGTAGCTAGGCTGGGGCATTGGGGGACATCTGTCCCTGGGTGCAGCATCCAGGGTGCACCAAATTGATATTACAAAATTTTTTACCAAAATGTTTTCCCATCCTTGGCAAACAGAAAGGGGTGAATATTCTTTTACTGCCCCTGGACGCTGAAAACTAGCTACGCCACTGTTTGCGATCTAGTTGCAATGTGTTAAAAGCTATTTATTGCCTTATAAAGCCTGACTGAAGCAGTGGTGTTTTTATGGTACATAAGTTACTTGGTCCTGATTTGCAAAGCATGTGATATCAGAAGCAAAATTAACCAGAGTATGATCGTTGACATTGAAATAAAAACTGTCTGCAAATTAAGAGAATTGGATTTCTCTTTGCATATATTGATGCAGTAAAAATATTTGCGTCAAATTTTATACAATTCTAGAACAATTTTATTTGGATTGAACAACAATCCAAATTGGCATAGATTTGCCAACTTCTAAAGAATATTTTGAATTGTTCAACATTTTATAAATAGCATTTCATTCTCATAAAATCAAACTTTTTATATAATACGTTTTTATAAATAAGTAATATCTAAACGTTTTGAGACTAGTCCTGTAACATGCCAACACATGGCAGCACAATGACACATGCAGTCTCAGGAAGTTTGGACTTTCAAAAATCAGTGTGCCAAGAGACATTTGTACTGTGTACATTTGGTAACTATGCAGCTTGTGCTATTATGACCATATGAGTTACTAATTTTGCAATTCAAATATGAACAATAAGCTTGAATTGAAGAGCAAATATGAAATTTTTGGGAAAACTTGACAAATCTGCCACCGAGATGTTGCACATGATACAACAACTTTACAGAAGTGTTGGCAAGAGTTGTACGAGGTGTTCTGAATACAAGTGCTTCAATAGCACAAAAGCATCACTGGAAGAAGACCAAAGCTCAGGGTGCCATTTTAACACCACTGCAAAAGGTATTAGCTACACTTTGGGAAGTGAAACTCTCATGCAATTACAGAAGCGACAAGACTGCTTTGAATGTTGTATCGCTGTGCAAGTACAGTACTTTGATAGTCTGTACTCTGACAAATAAAAATTTCTTGTCAACAGAGCTAGTCTTGAAACTGATAACCCTCTTATTTTTTTATGCAACTTAATATGCATTTAACTGAAATATTTGTTGTAAGTACTATAGATATGAAAACTATGCAGTAAGTAAAAAAGGTGTTTCAAAATGAAATGTTAAACATTTTGCTTTATAGCAGATCTATAACAATAATAAGTTAGATTTTAAAAATTTGCCTTCCTACACAATAAAAAGCTTTGCTTTGGGAGAATAAAAAAATGGGTTAGATCATTAACACAATTTATGGGGAAAAAAAGATTCAGTTTTGAATTTATTAAACAATATTTCTTTAACATAATTCTGTAAAAACCATGTTTACAATAACAGTTTTTTTAATCTGTCCTCAGATGGGTTGACTAGAATATACATCAAAATATAGTTTTACACTTGATAGAATAATAAATTGGTTCAAGTAGTTTCACTGTTAAATGTAAATATCAGAATTCACTGGTAAATATAGAATACTTTATACCTACTATAAATTAATGTCACAATAGTAAAGTTCTCAAAAGTTGATACCAAGTAAAGACAATGCACCTAAAACAATTATATTTAGTTTGGGAAAAGTAAAAAACACAGAAGAACCAACATTTCTACTATATTTGCATTTCAGTTTTTAAAAAGCAGATATCCTTGACGAGAATCTAAGATAAGAAATTCGATAGCTATTCATATGAATTTGATGAAATTAGAATTGAAAATCTTTGAACAGATCGAGTTACGAGATATTATCCCAGATGCCAAGTGAAGAATAAATTGTTTGTCATAGAATTATTCACATGTAAAATTTTCAAGTCAATATTTAAGGAAATTATTCTCACCGAAACTTCCTAGGGCATGCTCTGTAACACTAAGGCATAATGACTCTAGCCTGATGTTAATCTCGGGATCATTCGAGTCCACACCTAAAATTAAAAAAATTTTAGCAGATGCAAACAAAACTTTTCCAATGGAAAAATTTAAAATTGCAAGATTTAAATGAATGATTTTATCTGCATAAACAACATTTTACCTTCAGCAGTCTTCCCAAACATAGATGCAGGTAATGGATTAGGACGAACAGGTGCAGAATTAGTCCTTTGAATCTGCACATGTGGTTTCATATGCTTGATTGAAAAAATATTGAAAAATATTAAGTAAATTACAAACATAACCAATATTGCAAAAGAATTACAATATACACATAATTAGTGTATATTGCAATGTCTTTTTGTTAAGGCATACAAAACAAATTATAGCTTTTTAATAAAAACAATAAATTTCTTTTCTTAATAAAAGTTTAACTACAGTCAGAGACGTTTATTATCACCTACAATGACTAAAAGTTCTGTAACTCTTATTCAGATATGCAGATTCAGAAGTCTTAAAAAGAATGACATCCTTAGTAATAAAGTAGATTGCAGAAAGGTTAGCTTATTTGAATAGAGTGCACCAAGGATAAATCCCTAAGAGAAGGGATACCTTCATGGAGGACTATTTAAAGAAACCAGCTTGTATTCACACTAAACATGGAAGAAACCACAAAAGCCTACCCTTAAAAATTCAAAAATACCTCTTTGCATGCCTGTGTCTTAACCTAGACAAACTGCCAGGTCTGCCAAACACTAACATCACTCTTTAAAATTATTTTCATCATTTTACCTGAATGTTTAATTTTTATATTTGAATTTATAATAATAAAAAGAACAAACTTTAATTGATAGAGACTCATGCTGATATTTAATGCATAGTCTATGTAACAAGTAATTATTATGCAAATATAATTTAGCAGATTATATAGTTCCAATGTTGTGAAGTCCTACTAAATGACAGATTTCAAAAGAGATTTTACATGTTCACTACTGGAGGTGTATAAGGGCACCATTTATCACAGACAGATTACATATTTTTGTATAGTACTACAATATAATACAGGGTTGTTAAATGAAAATAGGATATTTTAACATTGCTTAAACAACAAGTCGAAACCTAAGACCATGTGTCACAAACGGGAATCATTTCTTGCAGATGGTTACTTCATATCAGTGCTGTTACTATGCGCTTCCCTGAGAAGTTATAAAGGGACATGCATACTACTACCATCCTATATATGAGTCATTGGCCTACTTGAGGAAACCACATGGTCAGTCTTACACATCTTTCAGCAGTTATGACTACAGAAACCTCAGATACAGCTTAGTGTATACCAATGCATGTGCATTAAATACTGCAGATTACATGAAAAGAAATCTCTTGAATACAAACACTAATTTTAAACTTCAGAAAAGACAGTACAACCAAATTGCTGATGAATACCGAAATGAAATTTACATTGCAGCAGCAAAACATTTCTATTATAATGAATTTATTACATGTAAGAGTAAGTTGATGACGATACAAATTAACTTTTATTCAAATAAAAAAAGCCTATTTTGCAAAGATACGATGCACTTGCATTTCAACCTCAAAATGTTACTGTCAAAAATTTGCTGAAGACACATAAAATTAGAGTAAAATGTAAGTGCATGCCAAAGAAAATATCAAACCATTAAATTCCTTTAATTATTTTCAATACAGTAGAAAGTCCGTAATCCGGACTCATCAGGACTTCGGCGATTCCGAATTAGGGGTTTTTCCAGATTATAGATCATTAAATTTGGTAAGATGACATGCAGAAATTATACAATTAAAAATATGAAACCATAATTTATGAAATAAAGAGCAATTATGATCTAAAGGGTATCAAAATTTACAAAAAAAAAAAAAAAAAAAAAAAGCTTAATATTTATTTGTTTACTTTATTAAACATTTCTTTCAATGTAAGTTGTTTAACCTTTTAACTGTCAAGTTATTTTGATGATTTGGGTGCATAAATTGTCAATTTTTTTAAAATTCCAAAAATGAAATGCTTGCCTCAAAGTCAAAAAATTTAAAAAATGCCGCGCAATTTGAGTTTTAACATCTATCCTTTGAAACCTTCAATCAAATGCTGCCATCTGTTGAACTGAAGCCAAAATAAACTTCTCACAATATATATTCGGGTATAACAATACGATGCACTCTGAAAAAAATTAGCCCGAGTAATATTTGGGCGTGACATTTTGGAATACAAGTGCTGTGCCCGAGATTATTTCGGGCATAACAGTTAAAAGTTTAAGTTACTTCCTTTTTTGTGCTAATACTTTCTCTTTAATTATCTTTTCTATAAACAGACATAATTTCTTATTCAGTTACAAAGTTCCACTGTTCAAATCCTGTAATTGCTGTGTCGAGAATATCGACTAACTTGCCAATTGGAATTTTTTCATTTACAATAACCTCCTGTCACTTTCTTCATTATCGAAAGTGCACATGTGTAAACACTTTACTAGCTTTACGTGCATGCATATCAAACACATATATATAAAACGCATGCATAAGTTTGTGACTTTGAGGTCCAGATTATAGATCATTCCGGATTATGGAATTTGTACTGTATATAACTTCACTGAACTAAAAATTATAAATTGTATACAACACTTTACTTTAAAATATATATAATCTTTATACAATAAACATTTTTGGTGATGTGGGCAAAATTTCCACTTTTTTTAAATGATACAAATGGGTTAAAAACTGTTTATTTCAAATTCTAATCTATAATTTAAACAATACAGCAATATAAATTACATGCATTTGAAGCAGAAATATTCCCAGTTTTCCCATTAAAGAAAAATATTACACAAAAACGATTTTGTGGGAAGTAAGGCATCAACTTATAACCAAGACAAAATTCCCTTTTGATACTGAAACAAAAGGTTTGAGATAACGTAACTAACACCCTTCTTTCGAATATGTAACCTTACACAACTTATTAAAAAAGCACTTTTTAGAGCAGTTATTTTTCTAAAAGGTAATTATTTTTATAAGTAATGAACAATCATAAATTTAGTAGCTATCACGAGAAAAATGTTCATGCACATTTCAAGAAATGCATGATGATAACATATGTAAAAGTAAATACCACAGTAATATTTATGTGACATACTAATTTGAGTGTGGACCATGAAAAATACCCAAGATAATAAAAATTACAATTATTTTGAAAACAAATATGTTTAATGATATAACCATTTAAAGTGCAGAATGCAATATAACAATTGTTTCTTCTATTCTTATAAAAATGTTTTAACTATCACCTCTGCACTGTTAAAAATGATGTAGCAGACATGATGTACCAATAAAATGCTTAAACATTGTGAAACAAATTGTTATAAAATGAGTACTAAAAATTTTTGCAGATTTTAGAGGCCTACTTTTTTTAATAATACAAACATTTTCTGATTAATATCAGTTATTCATATTTTAATGTCACTTTTCCTACAGTAAGAGAAATGATAAATTCTTTGAAGATTACCCTCAGTAAATGACATGTCAAGAATTTTCATTCATAAGAACATGAATGACTAATATCACCCATATGCCCATGCATCAAATTTTTAATTGAATATATTCCCAAAATTAATATTGGTAAAAGGAAAACAGCATGCCAAGAAAAGGGCTGCAAAAAGACAACACATGTTTAGATTTAAAACTAAACACAGGAGGGATATCAAACGCAACAAATGGGAGAATTTTTTCCCCAAAGCTTAATTTAGTAAATGATATGCTTTCACACAAAATCAAGTAAAAACACTTTATTTGGAGGGAAATTTCCTCAATATTCGTTATTTAACAGAATTCATAAATACTAAATTTACTTCAAAAGTATTTAATTAAATTTTATTTTGAAACTCAAAATACTGACAAAGTAAACATCACATTTCATACAGACGAGAAAATAGCACACAGCAAATCAGTTTATAAACAAAGTACTTACATCTTGCAAACTAGGCCTCTTGATCACAGCAGATAATGGACTTCGCTGATTCGTTTGTGATGAAAAATTTCCAGTAACATTTTGTCTGCCTACTGGCAGACGCTGAGGAGGCTGTTGAAACTGGACGGGCATTCTTCGCCTCAGTGATGCAGAACCACTACCAACAGAATCATGTTCTGTATTCTGTGAAGTTCCATTATGATAGTTGTTCCATTTGCTGTAGAAAACATTTAGCTTGTTTAAAATTATTAATACTATTCATGCATCCAAATTTTACAAATTTGGAACATTTAAAAGGAAAATCAAACAAACTATACAACAGCAGTCTTTATAAGGCAATTTTTAAAAGTTTAATACTAACAATGGTATTTCATAAAAATAAGTGCACTTTGTAACATAAGCATTAATAAACAAAGGCCAGTGGCATAAGTCCATGATATACTGCATTCTGACATCATAGGTACCAAGCAAGCTTTTGAATTATGCATTTAAAAATCTTATATCAAAAAAACGAATTATACAAAAAAATTTAATATTTATAACCTCTAACTAATCATTGCTCAGTTCTTAAACACTTACACGTGTGTTAAGATTTTGAAATATTTCTTTCCCTGAACTTTTGTGGCAACGCTGCGCAAGCACGAGTGGAGATCGTCTAGGCAATGAGGAAGAGAGAGTTTCACTCTCGACCTACACAGCCATTAAAGCCATTAAGCAACGATACTTTTGTTCTCAGTATGAAACATGTAACTAATTTCTGTAATTGTAAATAGTTTTGTTCATTAAAGTTTGTGTAGTAAAACTAATTTACAGTCTACTAATTCGATACAGGTAACATGATCAACGTCGACCCGATGAAGTTCGAACTGTTTTAAAACAAAAATCTGAAAGGCGAAACGATTAATGAGAAAATGGCTCCTGTGGAACTCGAGCAATTAAGTCTTTAATCGAAAACGAGGATATATAAAAATCGCAAATAACGAGAATAAAGTCATTTTTACAAGATGAAGTGCCAGTGGATAATATGGATATTATTCAAAAGCTTCAAGCAGTGGATAAACTATGTTCTAATTAGAAGGTTTACGCAACGAATACTACAGCACGCTTTCGGACGTTGATTTGCCAGCCTTTAAAGCAAGCCTCTATGATCTGCAAATTTACCTCGAAACATGCGAGGTAAGCTTTCAAAAAATTCTCAATCAAAATTCTATTGCAAATGTTAAAAGTAGTCTGTCATCTGGCAACTGTAAAGTAAAATTGCCGTCAATTAATCTTCCCGAGTTCTCAGCTTTATATGCCGAATGGCTATCATTCAAATCACAGTTTATGGCATTAATTGATAATAATGATCAGTTGTCAGAACAACAAAAATTATATTATCTTCAATCAGCACTCAAGGATAATGCCAAACAACTAATAACGGTAAACGATACATATAGTTTATTCAAAACGTTGAAAAAACGTTCTGAAAACGCGCCGTTGCTTATTATGAGTCATATTAATGAAATATTTAACTGCTCTAAAGTTAAATGTGAATCCGCATCTAATTTAAGACAGATGCTTGATAAAATCGAAAGTAATTTGCGATCCTTAAAACAGTTGAAATTACACACAAACCCTCTTTGTGAAGCAATATTAATATATGTAATTCTTCAACGAATAGATATTGATACTTGTAAGTTATACGAAATGGAATTAGGTTCTGAATTACCAAGCTGGGCTAATTTAAGGCAATCCAATGGGAAATGGTTAAAGTTAAATGCGTTACGTGATTCAGCCTCGATGCGAAATTTAATAACTGAGGAAGCAGCTGATTTATTAGGCTTTCAAAGATCGAGATGTAGAGCAGATTTAATTGAATTAAAAAATACTGTAGTTCCGATTACACGTGCATAGCTAACGACGAAGAATCTTTCAGTAAGGAACTCGAATTCTTAATTTTGCCAGAAATTGCTGGAAATGTTCCAGCTGAAAAAATAGATGTCAAAAATTTTAAATTGCCAGAAAATATAAGTATGCTAATCCTAAATTTTATTTGCCTCAAAAAATATCGCTTCTTTTGGGAGGTGACATGTTTTACGAATTATTAAGGGGAAACCAAATCCAGTTAAGGGGTAATTCTGTCACTTTAATTGAAACAGTTTTCGGGTGGATGGTGACAGGTTCTATTCCAGTCGTGTCTCCTAGTAATTCTCGATGTTATTTTATACAAGATGGTGATGAGGGTTTAAGACAATTCTGGGAATTAGAATCAATTGGTGTCTTCCAAAGAACCTAGAGCCATAACACTAAGAATTCTGTGTGTTATAAGGAGGGAAGGTACGATGTTGGGTTACCATGAAAGCACGATTTTAAGGAATTAAGTGATAATTTAGCAATTGCCAGGAGACGGCTAGTACATTTGAATAGAAAATTTGAGAGATGCTCAGAACTTTATAACGACTACCGAGAGATACTGAATGATTATGAAATTCAGGGTATCTTCGAAAAGGTTCCAAATGACAAGGTAGAAAGTGATAAGCCCTTGTTTTATCTGCCATTTTCAATGGTTTACAGACACTCCATCAGTTCCAAGAAACAAATCGTTTTTGATGCCAGTGCACATAAACAGGGTGAACTTTCCTCGAATGACTGCTTATATGCTGGACTTAGCCTTAACCCTCCGATATTCATTCAACATGCTTGTCTTCTTCCGTTTGAATGTGGTGGTCGTCTTAGCAGATATCGAGAAAGCATTTATGCAGATATCTTTTCATGAAAAGGATCAAAATGCAGTACGATTTCTGTTTCCAAGTAAAAACCCAGGTACAAATGAACATTACGATATCCAGATTTTGCTGTGTTCTGTTTGGCATTAACGCCAGTCCTTTCTTGCTGTCTGCCACCATTAAAGAACACATAAAAAAGTTTCGAGAGTTTCATCCCGCCACGGTGGAAATGCTCGATAAATGTCTATATGTCGACGATTTTGTTGGAGCTCTTGACAACATCTTATCTGCCTTTCAGATGTCGTGTGAAGCCAAAAGGATTATGGCTGACGCAGGAGTGAATTTATGTAAATGGAGTTCCAACAGCAAGGAACTGTTACAAATATGAGAAGACAAGGGGTTCAAAATCCATCCCATTCATTCAGAGGCCAGTCCTACTAACAAACTACAAAAGGTTCTCGATCTTCCATGGCACGTGCATCAAGACTACATCACTATTGATGTGAAATATTTACGAATATAATAAAGGAGAAAGTGTTAAAAGAACTGTGGTAAAAACAGCAGGAAAATTGTATAATGTGCTTGGTCTTCTAACGCCGTTTACAATCAGATTCAAATGTCTATTCCAAGAACTGTAGCTTAGAAATTGTTCATGGGATGCAGAACTTCCAGCAGACCTTCTTCAAAAGTATACTCAATGGAAGCTTGAGTTATCTGATATTAACGAACTTGCAAGTCCCTAGGATGATCCTCGACGGTAGCCTAGGTGATGCCAATGAACTTCAAATCCACGTCTTTTCCGATGCCAGCCCAACGGCATACGGAACTGTAGTGTACTTAAGAGCTATAACTAACCAGAATGTTTCGTTTTATAATGATCTGCTTAAAATTACTAATAATTTTTCTAAACTTATTCGTATAGTTTCTTATGTTTTTAGATTTATTTATAACTGTAGAAATCCGAAAGACAAAAAAAGTGGTTAACAGAAAGAGTAGAAGAAATATTCACTGGAAGTGATGAGGAAAGTAAGAGTTGTAAACATACGCTTTCCACAAGGCAAGATACTTAAAAGATCTGTAAGATATATTTGTGTGTTACCTGTGTATTAATTATTGTATTTGAGTTTCATTTCTATATTTAATATTACTATTATACTTTGAGTGTAATTGCTGTATAACTTTCATTTAATTTTATATTGTATTGTTTTATAAATGATAGAAATATTGGATTGAGAATCCAATCGGCGGGGAGTGTTACGAGTTTGAAATATTTCTTTCTCTGAACTTTTGTGGCAACGCTGCGCAAGCGCGAGTGGAGATCATCTAGGCAACGAAAAAGAGTTTCACTCTCGACCTACGCAGCCTTTAATTTCTGTAATTGTAAATAGTTTTGTTCATTAAAGTTTGTGTTGTAAAACTAATTTACAGGCTACTAATTCGACGGATACACGTAACAACGTGTTTCATTAGAATTTATGCTGAAAATTTCTCTTGCTGAATTAGCTCCTTAAACCTCTCCCCTTTATTTTAAAACTGATCAACTGAAGTTGATTATTCCAATTTTGTCCTTGTTAAACTATTTAAAAGTCTTCAAAATACATTTTTACTCCTCTCCTTTTCTAGCAGAAATTAACACAAGTCAAGTTTATTTAAATGATGACTTTCTAAAGTATGACAGAATATTTTTGTTTCTTAGAGATGACATCTTAGACAAAAGCCATTTGAACAGCAACTCTTTAAAATGCATTATTCTATTATTATACTAAGCATTTCTCACTTTCAAAGAAAGAAACCACATGCATTAAAATACCTAAAGTACTTTTATATCGGTTTTAAACATAAAATGAGTACTAAAAATTTTACAGATTTCAAAAGCCTATTTGTTTTAACTTTAATACAAATACTCTATATAACTGAGATGCAAGAGTGTCCAGTTTTTAAAGCAAATGATATAATTGTCAAACTAAAACAAGAAAAATTACTCTAGAAAAATGTGATATATAATATTAATTTGAACTTGAACAAAAAAAGTATTCAAATAACAAGTGACCAGAAAATTCAGTTTAAAAATTACTGGGAATGTCAAAGCACTATTCTCAATTTTGTATTTATCTTTACAGACTTGCTAGCTTTGAAGTGAAAACACGAATTATACACTTCCACAAGTTAGTAAACTGTGGAAATATCTATAATATTCACAGCTGACTTGACATTTAAAAACATTACTTACATGAGCTTAAAAATTTGCATTAATATTGAAATTCAAAATATGGTTTTAAAAAATGCATCTTGGATTAAAAATTAATCTCAGACTGATAATAGCTAATATAAAAATTCGAAAGCTAAATTTCTTTTAGTTTTACTGATATGTATACTGTAGACTTATTTCATCTACTGATTAACAGATTGTTTTCTAACCCATCCTTCCACAAAAGCCCCCTTGGGACAGTTACCCAATACCTACAAGTATACTTCTACCAAAAGACATGCACCTTATAATACAAAAGTACTTTAAAATAACATGTACTAATTACATTAATTATGGTAAAGCATTTGGAAACTATTTGCCTAATCAGGTAGACACTTTACTGGAGAATTTCAGAAGGAAATATAGCTAATGCTTATAATAAACATTGAGAAAAACAGATCAACTGTTACAAACAAAAAAGAAATAAGCCTGGAAGGACAATTTTGTTTTAAGATTCATTCTATATAAATAAAGATGTCACAAAACATACTTTCTCTGCCTGTTATCTAAGGAACGACGGGGAGGTAAAGGATGGCAAGCTTTCTGAATTTGTTGTTTCCAAGAAAACAAACGTCTTTTTTGAACAGGGGTAAATGCCTAAAAAGAAATTAATTATAACAAAAATCCATATGTTTGGCATTAATACATACATATTTTTGCTTGTTAATAACTACTGACCAAAAATTAAACAGATATAAAATTTCAATTTTTGTAAAGAGAAAATATTAATAGTAAATTTCACATGCAGTATTTATGCACACAACCAAGTTAACTTGTATACAAAACTAAATTACTTCAGTGTACCAATAAAATAATTCAAGAATTTCTTTACACAGAAGATATCCAATACAGTTTTGAGGTAAAATACAGAAAGAGATAGAGTTAAAATAACGAATTAAAAAATTGGCAGAAAAGAGGCCACTTTTTGAATTTATATTGGTACATTAATGACCTAAAAGTTTTTCAAAGAAAAATTTTGCAAGAGATCCTTAAAAACTATAGAAAACACTAAACATGAAGAATTAGAGGTGAGCATGATCATAATTTCATTATTAATCATATAAGGATAGTATTAACACACTGACTGTCCAGTTTCACCTCAATTTTGGAGAACAACCCTCTATCTAGATCCAAGAGCATCTAAAACTATCTTCCTTTACTGCAAAACTATTTGAGAGAACTTTCGGCTTGTAAGTATTCAAAATGGCCTCATTCCTCAGAAACTATACACTTACCAACAAACACACGTTTTCACTAGAATTTGAACCTGGGATCAATAATATAGCAGCCACGATCACTAACCATTATACTGATAATGGCAGCATCATACATAAACAAAAAGAGTATTATTAAAGTGAAATCTGATGTACTTTCAATGTGCATAAAAATTATTGAAAATGGTAAAATGGACAAAAACTACCAGTCAGAAAAAGCCCAACAGTCTGGTATACCGCTTTCATCAACCTTCTTATCTTAAAATGGCATTACTAGCATTTAATTGCTTTGCTTCTCTTTGTGATCTATATATATTTCTCTATTCAAAATATCACATCTATAAATCCTTTGCTTTTTTTTTTTTTAATTAAGAGTTTTTAGAAATTGAAAGAACCATTCATAAAGGTTTGGATTTTTGACTATTTTATCAAGGCAAAATACTCCGAGAGCTTTCTGCTTAAGAGGACAGATGCTTTCATGACAGATTCTCTAAGGGAAACTGGCTCATATCTATTTTACACTTGGTAGAAAACCCTTAAAATGACCATGCAGCCTTCGTTCGCTTGAAATCAAACTATCATGTTTCAGTAAATTTACTGTTCAGCCACTCATTAGTAAGGTGATGGTGTATTGTTATTTAATTATGGCAAAGCACACTAGGGCTATCTGCCTAAGGCACTCGTCAGTAAGAGAATGAATTATGTGAGTGTCCCCCAGAAGCTGGATAATATAAATCCCACATATGTTTGGTTGACTTTATGTACCAGACAAATGGTGAATAAAATCCAAAATGCACAAACAAACTGTATCAGTTGAAATGAACCTGTAATGCTGATGAAGGCATGAAGAAATGCTCTAGCAACAGGTAAAGCAGGAAAAAACTTCAAATCATATGGTAAAAAGAGACGTCTTTTAAAAATCTTATGAGGTTGATGTGGAGGTTTCTTCCAACGAGATCTGTTAACATTCGTCAAGTTAAAATGATAATCAAGTTTTTACTAAAAGTAGGACAGCAGGTTAAAATGCAATTGACTGAAATGGGAACATTGCAAGTGACAAATTAGGCTCATTATCTCCTTTCAAGAGATACTGATGTGTCGGTCTGCAGTGACCAATTTGTAAGCGAGTCAGCAGTATATCCTACTTTCGTTTCCCTCTCGACTGCCAAAACTCCAAATTAGGTTTTACCTGCCTTAATTTGTTAAGTGTCTAGCATTCCCAGAGTTCTTGTCATCTGGACAAGATCTTTGTTCTGATGTAATTCTGTATGTCTGTAAAAGAGACATCATTTTCAAAGGTAATATCAGATTTTGCAGCGACATCGGCAAGTTCATTGTCTTTGATGCCAGCATGTGCAGGCATCCAGAAGTATGCAATATAATAACCAGAGTTTCTCAAATACAGGTGTGCCTTTAAAATTTCTAAAACCAAAGGGCGGCCAGTATTTATATTTATTGAATGAAGAGCACTCAGAGAGTCAGTAAAAGATTAAGGAATTAAAAATGGCAAAAGTTTCTGCAGTAAAGACAGATGCAGCCTTATGAAGTTTACTACTCTCGATTTCTTTATCACAAACATTATATAAGTTCAGAGGCTTTGCAGACTCTTTCCCAAACCTGTTAGATATTGAGGAGGTAACAGTGGACACATAAGCTGCACATGATTTTCTCTGACTTTGCCGCCTCGCTTTTCTTGCATTCGCCTTAGCTTTTTTAAAGGCCAGAGTATTTGACAGTGTTGGATATTGGCAAAAAATATGCCAAGCTTTCTTTCGCTATCTCGAAGTTTCATGACAATCACTGTTCCACCAGGGCTAGGGAACTTTGTTGAGGACTTCAGAATACAGAGTTCAGCTGCTTGAACAATAATATCAGAGATCATTTTTTACTAATGCATTAATGTCCACATTGTTAACCATTTTTTCAGTCAGCACAGCACAAGATGCAAAAAGATCCCAATCAGCTTTATCATAAAGTAAGTGTGTCTTAAGATCATTGACTTTCCTGTAATATTTACAATCACTGGAAATGGTCACTATCGTAGAGATTCTGCCCTACACTGAAAGAGCAAAAAAGGTAGTAGGGATGGAAAACAAAAAAACCAGAACAATTGCATGAAATGCTCTAGTCTGCTGATGAAAGTAAGTGTATTCTCCATTATAAAGGAGACAAATATTAGAATGATCTTCCATTAATTATTCCATCTGCCGGCCTCTTGAATTAGTATCCCTACTTCTCCATAAGGTACTATGTGAAGTTACCTAAAAGCAGAAAAGGTTCTGGGAGTTGCTCTATAATTCTGTCCAACTCTCGCTGATCTACATGCTCATGTGGGGGTAAACAAATAGTGCATACTGAAATTGAAAAACTTTAATCTGAATCACTACAGCTTGAAGGGAGGTCATCAAAGGGAGAGCAATGTATGGGTGATTGTAGGAGGACGATAAGGGCCCACACCACCACAAGCACGATCCCCAGATGGGTTGTCCTTTCTTACTGTGGCATATCTCCATATCTTAGAATGTCTGCTTGGTTTTAACAAGGTCTCCTGAAGTGAAAAGCAGGCAGGTTAGTAGATGTTGATTAAATCCTTGATATTATCCAGATTTTGATGAAAACCTCGGCAACTCCATGAAATAAATGTACCCATTATGAATGCTTGTTTTGGTGCTGTTTTTTTTTACTTTCGAGGCAAAAAATGTTTCGGAAGGGATAACCCTTGCTCAACGTCCATTTCGTCCGAGTCATCTAGGCATCCTGAACTTATGCTTGCAATAGAACTTTGACTGGAAGGATCCTGTGTTTTTGCTTATTTTTCTTCTTGACAACATCTCTACGTTTGTTCTGTTGGACATCCTGTTTTCCTTTGGACACAGTCACCGGCATACCACTTTCAACATCAGGTTTTCCCGATTTTTGGTTTCTAGGATCTTCTGTCATTGCTAGTTCTTTTTTCTGTGTGGTTATTATGGTTTGTGTTGATTTTGATCTGAATGTTTTTGTTACAGATGCACAAGATTTATTAGTTCTTGGCTGATTAGAGAGAACAAGTCTTTTGGCTTCTGCAAATGATATCTTTTGTGTAACTTTGTTTTGAATTTGTTTTTCTGGTTGCCATTTTGGACTTAAACTTGAAAAAGCTGGGTGCTCGCCTTTACAATTTATACATAAAGGGGCAGCAGAGAAGCCTTCGCTGGCATGGCCTACAATGGAACATCGAACACACGCGAGGCTACCGTGACAAGGTCTTTCCATGTCCAAAGCACTGACATTGGGAAGCAACGCATTGGATTTTATAGATATGGCCTGACTGAACAGTTTAGATATCCAGCTCTGATGTTTTTAGGCAGGTTAGGAGACTTGAAAGTACATATGACACGTTTAGTAGGAATGAGGTGGCAGTCTTTCCATATTTTGATCCTATGAGCACCACACATTTTTTGATCTGCCGACTCTTTAACAAATTCCTCTTCAGTTACTGATAGTAAGTCTGTTTCAGAGATTACTCCAGGATGAGTTCAGACAGTTATGTGGCTTAACTTAAACATTTACTTGTCCTAATTTAATTAGTTTGAAAAGACTATTAGATTGCTTTCCAGACACAGTTTCTATCAAAAGGTCTCCAGATTGAAGTATCTTAATATTTTCGAGTTTTCCTATAGAAGACAAAAGATGTTTGTTTATTAGAGAGCGACTTTTTTTCAATTCCTCAGAGCTGGTTATAATTAAGAAACATGGTCAAAATACATATGATACAGTGCTTTCTATGTCGCTTCTTAGTCTTTTGGTCACAATCGGAGTATTAGGTACATTGTTGGAGCAAGAAGGTATCGTGGCATTCATATTTAAATGGAAAAAGATTTGGGTCCAACCACCCTACCCACCATGGAGCCCAACAAGGAGGTGCAGATTCCTACGCTAGGGCTAGCCCGACCTATATGCAAACTGAAGTCCCACAGTCGGCTTTCCCAAAAGCAGGTACTTCCGAGAGCTTGTATCCAAGCTACTGACACAAGGACTAGTGACCAGCTGTTTGACACCTGCGAGGACAACAAGGTGCCTCCTGTTTAACTGAAGCAGATGTCAAAGCAATATGTTGGAAACAGTACCTCACCCCTCAACTACCAAGACCCTCCTTTCAAATGACACAGGTCCCCCCACATGGCCAGTTTTCTTGCCACTTGAAGAACTAGGAACAAGGCTGTTCCAGTTTCTTATGCTGAGCCCAAACCTCAGAAGAGGAAACCACAAGGAAGAAGGAAAATGGGAAAGTTGCAGCTAAGAGAAGAGGAGGCAGAAAGAAGGCGAGATCACTGGGGCTCCAGGATTGTGATACCTGATCACCAAGACTGTAATGCCCTGAAGGATCTTCACCTGCTATGCTTTAGCTGAGCATGTTAGAATGGCCTTCATGCCTAGGGTGACCTTTCCAGGAGCTATGCTCCTGACGTACTTCACCTGTTCCACCCAGTGATCCCCCTGCCACATTGAGGCAGCACAGCAGAAGTCACATGTATATGGATCTGGGAATTATTCAAAACTTTAAATACAGGAAATAGTTCATGCATAGTCTATTAAACACAGATTGCAAAATTAAAGATTTCCAAGATGAATTCGGCATAAAAAATGTAATTTACACAGTTACTACTACCTGGAAATATGTATACATTGACGAGCCCAAACATTGTAACCATGCCCATATTTTTCAATGAATCATCTGGATAACATGGAAAACATGTGATTAAACGAGAATTATATTCAACTGCTGCTGGAAAACGTAAGGACTTACTTTTGCAAGTAATTAGGAAAGATTGCTAATCTAAGCAAATTTGATAGAGGGTGGATTGTAATAGCCCCAAAACTCTGAACGAGTATCTCCGACACAGTGCGATTGGTAGGTTGTTCACGATCTACCATTGTTATTCATGCAAAGTGGATAAATGACAGTGAAACCAGCAGTAGACTGCAAGGTCCATGCATCAAAGGAAAAGGATGTCGGAGACGGCAAAATCGGCACCAGACAGTGGCTCAGCTGACAGCCCAATACAATGCAGGACCAAGTGTTTTGGAATACACAGTTCAGCGGACACTGTTGGATACATCCTACTTGTATGCCCCAGCTGACCAAGCATCATCAACTATGCCTATGGTGGGCCTGGGAAAATTGAGACTGAACCATGGGTAACTAACAGAAAGACAGTTGCCTGGTTGGATGAATCACAATTTCTCGCTCTTCAAGTCAATGGTCATGTAAGGTTATGCCATTTTCCAGGTAAACAGTTGCTATGCCCCCTGTACAGGTCATACCCAGGCTCAGGTGGCAATATTATGCTTTGGAGGTTGGTTCATGGTTAGCTCTTTGAACCCTTAGTTGTAGCAGAACAGACAACATAACCTGCAGACTATCTGAATACAACTGCGGATCAGTTGGACCCTTACGCGGTGCACAGGAACTAGAATCTTCCAGCAGGACAAAGCCTGACGTTACGAGGAGTAATGTTACTTGAAATTTGTTGGAGATGTTCGAGGAGTATATGGATGAATTCTAATTAATGTCCTCTCGCCAGATCTTAATCCGATAGAGCAGAGATTCTAAACCAGTGGTACACAAAGAAACAAAGTAATTTAACTATTAAATTAAAAAATTAACTCAGATATTCTGTTTAAGTTTTTCTCCAACACTCGTAAATTTAGGCCACCTGAGCTTTGTTCAAGGTCAATAGCTGCTCATAGACTTTAGCAAACTAAACAGTTTGCATTTTCACAAATATTCTTTTAGCCATTAACATAAAATTTGTCATAAATGATGTTTTAAAAAGGAGTAATAGAAACGGATGTTGTATTTAATAGAAAATAAGTTTCTAAAAAAGATAATAGGATGATTAAGCAGAAAAGTGATGATTCACAGGTGATGGATCCAGGAGAATCTAATAAATCCAGGATAATCTAATAAAAATATTGGAAAGAAAAACTGTTTAAAGAAAATATAATGAAAATTATTTATCATTTGGATTTACTTGGAATATAAATGAAATGGACCCTCAATGTGTTTGTGATAAGCAGTTATCCAAACAAGGCATGAAACCATCATTTCTTAAAAGACGTTTTAAATTTAAACAGCCAGTTTAAAAGATAAATCCGATTAATATTCTAAGAGGAATTATCGGAGCTAAAAAAACAGCATATAAGTAATGAAAGGTTTTGTTACTTCAAGTGGAAAAGCTTCGTAAGCTAGTTACCTAATAAGCTTAAGAATTGCCAAGACTGAGCAAGCACACATTATTTGAGAAAAGCCTCTATACCAGCAAGCTAATGATGTAGTTTTAACATTATTCAATGAAAAAGAATCTAATGAACAATAATATTCCATTATCAAATGATACAGTAAGCCGACAAATTCATGAAATGGCAAATTCCATAAAAGACACTTATTCAAAAAATAAAAGACACTTATTCAAAAAATAAAACACACCGAGTATTTCGCACTGCAATTAGATGAAAGTACTGATATAACAAACTTTGTTAAAAATTATTACTTTACATACATTTTGTAAAAGTAAATGAATTGCCGAAGAGCATTTTGTGAATCTCTTCAAGATAGAACAGATAATGAAAAATTCATATCTCCGAATGATACTCCTTATAATAAGTGCATTGCCATATGCAGTGGCAGAGTTCGAGCTTTAACAGGAAAACATTCTGGTATTATCTTTCAAATGATAAAAGTTACACTCGAAACTAAATTCACTCACTGCGTCATTCATCTTGAAGCTTTAATAGCCAAAACAATCCCTGTAAACCTAAAAGTCGTTTTGAAGTAAGCTGCAAAAATTGTTGATTTTATTAAAATCCAAGCAATAAATTCAAGAATATTTACGATTTTATGCCAACAGATAAGCAGTGAACATGAAATACTTTTGTTACATTTCAAAATAAGGTGGTTTACCCAGACGCATAATTCGCCTTTTTGAACTTCAATCAGAAATTCAAATTTTCCTGCAATTCAAAATTTGAATTGCAAAAATATCTATTTGGCGAGTTATGGTTAGTGGGTTTAGCATATTTAGCTGATATTTTTGGAAAGTTAAATGAATTAAAATTTAGAACTACAAGAACAAAGCATTAATTTACTATTATAGATAAAATAAACACAATCAAACTCGAGCTAATAATAAAAAATTGGATAATACTCTTATTTTAAGTTTTCTGCTACTTTTATAAAGTTTTCTAACAGAAAATAATTTGAAAATAAAAGAATTAGCATCCGATATTAAAATCATTGTTTTTCCATTGATAATTTCAACATGTATATTCCCTAGGATTATAAAAAAGAAAATTGGATTAGAAATTCATTCTGTTTAAATTCGCCTGAAATTTCATGTCGTAAAGGAAAACAACAATTTATAAAAAATGTCTCGTAATCGACCTGTACCTGAAGACTTCAAAAATAACATGCTTGTTAACTTTTGACTAAACGAAAAAAGAATTTAAAGGCCTTTCAAATAAAGCATTAAATTTTTATTGCAGAATCTATTTGCGTGAACAAGGATTTTCTTTCGTATTATATTTGAGAAGTAAATGCAGAACAAAGGGATCTTAATTTATGGTTAAAACTATGTGAAATAAGAACAAAGAAATTGATCTTTTTCTTAAATAGGCTCAAATTTTACACTAAATTTTAGAATTAAAGTATTACAACTTAAATTTTGGTAATTAAAATGGTAATCAGTTTTGAATCTTGCATTTTTTATACGTGCATATTTAATACAAATAGCCAATAGGTTGTGCAAATGGCAATATATATTTATATTTACATATAATACATATATTTATATATAATACATATAAACATATACATGGATTAAAAAACGCACACGCATGAAAAACTGCCTACAAGCTTCCAAAGTGTAAGAATAATTTATGGACTGTATTAAAAGCAATATTCAGCCATAGAAAATACAGTAAAGGGCCATCTAATAAATTTAATGCATTTTCAGTTCATTACAGTTTATGGATGAACATGCACTGAAAATTTATGGAATATCTTTACCTCATGGCTAAGGCACTTGTCAACAAGCATCACAAAGAAATTCATGTTTTCATCTTGGTTAGGGGAGATCAACAAATTTGAACAAACTAGATAAAAGCAAACAAATTAAATTAAACAAATTAAATAATTGTACGATAAAAATAAAATAAATGTATAAAACAGTCCAAATTCAAAGTAAAAATGTGTTATACTTTTCCCTAATAGGCGTGTCATCTGGCCAGGTAAATCCCCTTCTGTAACTTGAGACAAACTGTCACTATCATTACTCGTTGGACTAGGAGGGGCACTTGGAGGATCAGAACATGATGATTCGGATTCACCACCATTGACAATTCCGGACCTCACTGAATCTACATTGTAATTGGGACAACTGTATGCTTTTATTGGTGTTTGGATCATGCTTTTAATTTCATTAAGGGCATTTCGTATCGTTCCTTCTCCATCTTGGATATCCTACAGGAATACATTATCTTTTAAAAATCTTTCTGCAAATTAAAAATATTACAAGACACAGGTACAAGGTGCATATAGTTGAATTGTTGTAACAATGGATATTGATTTCAATTGAAAAATAAAAATATGCATCTGAATGATTACAGTTGCTTTTTATGCAATATCCACACCAGAAGAACACTGAATATTCCTTTTCTATAATTTTGCATGGCAAGAAAGAATACTTTTTAATACTTATCTGCAAAATGTTATATATTTATTATGTTTTATAAGTACCAATAACATATGGAAATTGATAATATAGTAACCAGAAAGGCTAATAGCACCAAAAATAATTTGAAAATTTAAAATGTATTAATATATGTAATGATCTAATTGATGAAAAATGTTTAAACGGGTATTAATTGGCTATTTTAGGAATGCATTATAAGAAATTTGTATTAATTAAATTTTTAAAAACATAATGCTAAATTATAAAAGTAGCAACAAATCACAAATGTTTCAAAGTATGTCAGATTGTGCCTAAAAAGATATGTGGCTTATTCCAATGCAGTAATTGACTGAATTTAAAGTTTTTGGTCATGCTCTATAAAACTGTACTGGCACAGAAAATGATGTTAGCCAGGTCAAAGTTTTACCAAAAAGAGTGACTTTTTGCAGGGTGACAAATTTCAAAATTTGAAATTACTTCTAGTCTTCAACTTTCCAAGACACAAGTGGGGTTTTTCTTCACTGTTTAGAGGTTATGTAAGGACAAGCTCACATTTGAACTTCAATTATTTAATAATTATGGACAACAGACCGCAAGTACAAAAGTTCTTGTCTGATCAATTTTCTTCCACTTAAACTGCAAAAAGAACAGGTAAGGGTAACAACTTCAATGTAATTTCTCTTGCTTCCAACTGCTGATAATGTACTGAAATTTTTTTCAAGCTTTGTACCTTTTTCCAAGGAAGAATGAAGAAAACGTTTGCAAGAAAAACACCAAGCATAATTATTTTTCAGGTACACTGGGAGGAAAGTTCTATATCTTCCATTCTACTATGCCGATTGACGAAATTCAACTTTCATTTTTCACATCTCAAAAGCGCGACTATTAGATTTATATATAGCATTGTTCTAATATAGGTATTTTGGCACGAAATCCGACTTTTTCTGAAATAACATATCACTTTATTTCCATTCTAAGACTCAAATTACGCCAAACTAACAATTTTTGTAAAAATCACATGAGTAGTTTTTAAAAAATTAGCTCTCAAAATTTTAGCTCCTCAATGTTAATTGAGTTTGATATTTATTAATCTTCCTTTTTTTATTAAGCTTATTTGATTCTTCCTTTCACATTTTGAAATTTAGGTTCTTTCCAATTAAATTCACCCATTTTTTGGAGATTTATTTTTTAATTTTAATTTTTAAATAATTTTTATAAATTTTTCAGAAAAATTAAAATTATCTAAAATTTTTACCATCATCTTAAAGTAGACTCATTTCTATGCATACCTGCAAAAAATTGCAATTTTTTATTCAAAATTTCTGAAGATAAATGTGAATTTATACATTGTTGCATTTTGAAAGTTGGTATATTTGTTGAAAGCGATAAAACATCAGATGTGGTTTAAACGCTTAGCTAAAATTATTTGAAGTAGAAGCAATGCGACTTTTTTCCACTCATACACAATGTAAAAAGGTAAGAACGAGGTGCCTTTTTTTCCTGCTTCCGCATAATGGAAGGGAAAGGAAAATTGGTTGCCATATGTTAAGAAGTTCGCCAAGTGAATTATTTTTGGTCAAACTGAAAAAATTTTGCCAAGATAAATTTTTGAATTTCTCCATAAATTTCGCACCAAATTTTACAAAATTTAATATCAAGGCATAATTTGAGTTTCAAAATCGAAATATGGAAAAAACTGGTGCGTTATTTCAGAAAAAATCTGATTTTGTCTCAGAATACCCATGTTAGAACAATGCTATATATAAATCTAATATCTATCCTAAGTAGCATTTTCGAGACATGAAAAATACAATTTGAGTTTTGTCAATTGGCCCAGTAAAACGGGAGATAGAGAACTGTCCCTTTTTTTTTTTTCTGCAATGTGCATTCTCAAATCCTGGCAAGGAACATTTCTCCACAATCTTCACAATTCAATTAAGATACCTCTTCTTTGATATTGCCTTCTTCACGAGTTTATGATAACAGTAATTGTGCAGATTAATTAAGATAACATCATGACATCCTACCAAGCTGTATTTTGAATCTGTTGTAGAACTTTCGAGAACTGTTTCATGAGGAAATTGCAATTTATCAGCAGCCTTTAACACGACCATAATGATTAATATTAAATAGCTATGCATAAATAAAAGTTCACATATTAAATAGCTATGCATAAACAAAAGTTGATATGCAGTTTAATTTCTTCTTGATACAAAGCAGTATTAATAACATCCTATCTTCTAGCATTTGTTTAAGAAAAATTATTTTATAACATTTATTTTATGAACAGAAACACTTCAAAGTTATGGAATTTTCCACAGAAATACTGAAACAAGTGTTCACAGTATTACAGAGTACAATTAATTGTACTTAGTAGTTTGAAGTGTAGTTACACTTTTGTAGTAATTTGAAGTGTAGTTACACTTCAAACTACTAAGAAAATAAAACACAATCCATTGCAAAGCATATATAAACAGAAAGCTAACTGGAAATATATCCGATCTCATGCTGAACTAATAACTTGCAACAATAACAACAACTAGCTATAATTAAAAACAGATGCTCTCTTTTTGGCTTTATATAGTTTTGAACTGGCTGCGAGATATTTCTAGTACTTTCTGCTTCTTGAAATTACTAGAAAGCAATACAAAGGTTGAAATATGGTTGCATCTAACATAGTGATACTGATTACAATACAGATTATGGTTATACAAGGATTGCAAGAAAATGCCGCCTGGTTTGGTGACAAAATAAGTCGCCCCAAACTGGTGTTAGCTTGATGATAGGTAGCCAAATTACCGAGATACCTATTACTCAATTTTAAATGTACTTGCCGCTTTATTTTGCCGACATAGCTTCTCTATAGATTTTTCACCTTACATTACACTGAAAAATGCAATTTCACTAAAATCATGAATCATGAATTCATAATACTAAACTGAACAGTAATGGAAGGATTTATTAAAATTTTACCTTCTCCAAGCTTCTTAAATTTGACTGTCTCTCTCGTAACTTCTGGATGCTTAACACAATTTTATGTCGTGCTCCTTTAGTAATATTCTAAAAATAAAAAGTAAATAAATTTCACAATTAAGAATATAAGAATATTAAATACCCATCGTAGAGGTAAACAGAAATAAGCAAAATTGTTCACACAGAAAATATATTAAATATTTCTTGCGATTCACATATACTGGCTCAGCACATGCTGCTTAGCACCTGTGCCAAGTTTCAGAAACCTACTATACATAAAGTCAGTTGATTTGTGGGCTCACAGAAGTACATTGAGATGGACAACATACAACAAAGATGCTTTTAATGCAAGTGTTACATGTATGCAGTTATCATGAATGTAAAACATCCTATCAGAGAACTGCTTTAAAATCCCCTCCTAGGCATGAAACAACTACAACACACATTTCTGCAATCATAAATAGAATGCAATATTTACACTGCTTTTATAATTTAAATATTGAATCGTAAAAGGAACATACCAAGAAACTACAACACGGATTTCATTTGAAGTTCTACTTTTAAAATTTGTAGATGAATTTAGTAAAAGCACTGAAGAAAAGGAAAATCTTAGGCTTCCTTAAATTTTGTCAGAGAAGGGATTACTTTAGATAACCTAATAAGCAAAGTTTCCTTCTAAAAAATAATTCTGGCATAATTTTAATTAACTTATGAAAATAATTTTCACATCAAAATAAATGGAAAAATACATTAAAAAGCAATGCAGTTTAGCTTATGCATGGGCCAGCTTTTTCTTTAAATAAAGAGGTGGCAAAAAGCACATATTTAAAATGCTGCCAACACTAATTTTATACTTTCTTTGTAAAATTTAACTTTTATTGAAGGTGTTTGAATATACTTCGTTTTTCTTTACGAAGATGTACATAAAAGTTAATTTTTCATATCAAACCACCAGTAGGGAATCATAATTACACTGAGAAACATTTCTCAGTGGAAATACACAAGTCTGCTTAGCACGGTATTAAAGAGAAAATGCATAAAAAATACCTTTACCCCTTCCAAGCTAAAGAGTCTTCTCAGGATATTAAACTTGACACAAAATTACTAGTATTCAGTGGTAGTGTTTAGGAACAAGTAACAATTCCTAACAAAAAAAATCAGAATAAAAATAGTTTCCTTAGCCAATCAATTGCCAACATTTCAACATGTTACGCATACTCAAGTTAAAAAAGGAAAATATGATGATGTGCACAATCACAGACTGCTAATACTACATGAATCAATCAGCTAAAGGTTGACAAATTCATCCAGCTGTATATATGAATCATCCAAATATTTTATATTTATGCAGTTGTATAAACTGGATCACTCAAAAAAATTTATACAGTACAAAGTCCAGACTCGTCGGGATTTCAGCGATTCTGGATTTGGAATTTTGCCGAATATTAGATCAATTTAAATCTAGTAAAATGGCACGTAGAAATTATGAAATTGAAAATATGAAATCGTGATTTATGAAATGTAGCATTTATGATAGAAATGTCATCAAAATTTACAAAAATGGAATAAACTCTATTATCATCTGTATGTGTGTTGTGTCACCAAAGGTACATATTGAATATTTATAGAGGGTGTATCAACTTAGCGAGTTTTGGGTTCTTTTCATACATGAAATATTTTTGAAAATATAGCATTTTCAAAGTGAATGAATCATTTATGCTAGCCCTATATTACAAAAATTCTAGATAGTCTTGCCATTACGCAAGAAATTTAACATGGATTTAAAAAATGCTACTTTATATTTGCCCTTCAGCATGCGCACAATTCCGATATCCATAGGCTGAATGATAGACTTACAATCTGGAAGAAAGGATAATAAAGATACAATATCTTTTACTTAACACAAGGTACGAAATGATTTTCAAACCAATCATTCATTAAAACTTGTATCATCCAGCTCTTATTTGCACGATATATAACTGAGAAAATCTTTACTCCTTTAAATGGTTTAGGATATGTATTTTTTTTTTTTTTTTTTTTTTTTTTTTTTTTTGTTTTTCAGATTGCAAAAAATTCACACTTGCGAGTTTCCACAGGATTTGCACATGCTAAAATTGCTAGTCTTGTTTTGGAATCTTTGACACCAGTTGTTTCATCAACATTGTAAATTTGAAGATAACTTTTCACTATCAGTGAGTTCAATGATTCATCTACAAATAGTTCAGAAACTTCAGTAACAGCTCAAGCTTTTTCACCTGAATTTTTTAATTGCCTTATACCACAGTGGTTTTAAAATTTGTTAACCAGCCTGTCGAATATGTACACTGAGTTTTTAAACAAATTTCTTTATGAAATATTTTGACTTGAGCCATTAGCATTGGACCTGTCAAAGGCATGCCCTCGTTGCGACACTGTCTGACACATTTGATCATCACTTAGTCATGATGGACACTTTTAGCATAGGTAATAAATTTTCTATTAATTATTGCAACTGGGATGTCGGAATTCCATAAAAAATTCATATCGATCCTTTTTCTGTTATGTCATATACTGCTGACTTTCCAATGCCATACTCCTCGCATAATTTTGAAACATATATCTATTTTTTGCAGCAATTCCACTTTCTGTATAATGGACAACGAAACATGCTTTTGCTTTGCAGCTCCTGCTGCAGTTCGAGAAGTAAAAACTCCGACATAATCGAAAGTTCAAACTTAAATTTTCAGAAAATTGCTTCAAAAAGTAATAAGCTGGATAAAATCAGAAAGTTAAGGAACAGTGCAATCTGCTATATTAAATGAATTTCCTTAGAATCAGTAAAGTATAATTTTAACTTAGTTTAACAGTGTCCACTATACATTATTGGCTATGTAGCTTCAGATTGGCGATAAAAGAGAAGTTTCGTTAAATTTTGTCTTGTTCCTATTGAGCACCGAGACAATTAAGCCTGAATTGTAACAATTTAGTTATCTATTATACTTACGTCTACTTCTTGCAAATGCTAAAGGCTTATTCGAGTCATGAATAAATAAATTCCCACATAAACTTAAGCTTACCAAGGGCCTGCACTAGATATTTTACCACATGATGCAGTCATTGTGGTTCTTAAATTCTGCTAACAAGTGACTCTCTATAGTTCCAATTTGTTGCCACCCCTAAATTTTAGGCCCCAGTGTATTTCCTAAATTCTAAAAAGTTTGTTGTCACTTAATTTTATTACTCATTCCTTCTCTAAATTCCAAAAATCTTGTCTTCCCTAAATTCTGTGCCCCCTGTGCGGCCATACGAGCTCTGGCACTGGGTCTGGGTTAATGTAAAAAAAATCAAATCAGCTATTCTCAACTCAAATAGCATTAAGTGTAATTTTCACCTACGAGTATCATTAAAAAATCCATTTTTAGCATATGGAAAGAAATTTTTGTTAAATTTTTCCTTATCAAAAACAATGATTCACCAGGTTGGTATCAGGGAGTTAGCCTTGGTAAAATCAACTATGTTTCTATGTAGAATGTTTCAGTACGAGATGTATGCTAAGCAGGTATGCAGCTACGAAGCCAAATTATTGATCACACAGATTTTTGCTTAAACGACTGTTCCTTCAATAACAAGGTGTTTTATTTAGAGCCAAAGTGAAATTAAGAATCAGGACCCTCCACGTTTTAATATGGGGGGGGGCGGGGTCAAATGCGCATGCGTAAAGGATAAAAAAATTTTTTTTTGGTAGTTTTAAGGTCCAGATTTTAGATCATTTCGGATATTGAATGTCCGGATTTTGGACTTTGTACTGTACATAGTCACGAACGGGGGAAAATAGGCCGCATCTAGTTTTAAATATTTGTGCTTTTGTAAATCAATTTCTTGGCTTTTACATTAAAATAATTAGAATATGTCCTACTTTTGACTGTAGCAACGGAGATGGACAAACTGTTAAAATGGCAGAAAATCTGGTCATCGATGCTTAATCAACCAGTTCACATGAAAACGATAATCATGCAATAAAAAGAATAGTGCATTCTGTGTAGTATTCAGAATTCATATTCAATTACTGCCATTTCCGACTAATGAATTGGGTTAGGTTAAGTTGGATTATGGCAAATCCTCCAAGTCTCTCTGACAGGAGAGATATTTTCATGGAGGCCTTTGAGGTAAATTCACTTACATTACATAAGGAAAATCATAGAAACTAAACATGCAGCCAGACCATTTGCTTGGGATTGAAACAAAACTAGGGCAAACTACCCATATTCAACAGTCAATATAAATTAACAAACTGCTTCAAGTATTTGCTAAGTAAACCTATCCATCTTTTCCAGTGACTAATTAACACAAATCCTCCATGCAGATGAAAGCAAGCAAGCTATTAAAAAAATGAATTAGTACGAATTACCAGTTTTTCTAACTTTTCTTCTGTGATTGACATCATTTCCTCATATGTCATATTCTTAAAAATGTATGAATACTTGTGCAACCTTAGTCCCTTAAGCCAGCAAGGAACATCTGAAAATAGAAAAATTTAAATAATTTAATAAATGCTATTACAGTTTCAAGAAATGCATTTACATAATTAACATGCAGTTTATGCAAAACAGACTTAAAATTAATAAGGCACCACATTTCGAAGAACTTAGAATATTATAGTTATTGATAACTTGTACTGTTTCCTATACAGTCAAAAGTCGTTAATCCGGACTCGTCGGGACTTCGGCGATTCCGGATTATCGATTTTTCCGGATTATAGATCATCAGTTCAAAACTGGTAAGATGGCATGCAGAAATTACAAAATTAAAAATATGAAACCATAATTTATGAATAAAGAACAATTATGATCTAAAGGGTATCAAAATTTACAAAAAGCTTAATATTTGTTTACTTTATTAAACATTTCTTCAATGTAAGTTGTTTAAGTTGCTTCGTTTCATGTGGGACTCTCTTTAATTCTATTAAACAGACATAATTTCTTGTTTAGTTGTTCCGTGTTCAAGGCCCTATAATTGCTGGTGTCGAAAATACAGACTAATTTGTCAATTGAAATTTTTTTGTTTTCAATAACCTCTATCACTTTTTTCACTATCAGAAGCGAATTATAATGACGAGGAACATGTTTCAAATCATATCAAAGACGGAGCACATCGAGATGAAGGAATTATAAGCTAAATAAAATAAAAACATCTGCCCTGAAGATAAGGATAGTGCTGACAGATCAACTTCCAATTCATTGCACGTGGCGTTCCCCTCGCCGAGCAGCGTGAAATTGATAAACAGATTTCTGATTTCGAAACATACTTTCGCTTTAGATCCTTTACATATGAACAAATATGTATCGGAAATTAATTCTATTTGATATAATCGAAGGTTTAAGCTTACTTTTATAAAATAGCTCTAACAGTCTGCAAAAAATAAGCCGGATCCAATTCGAAGATTAAGGAACAATGCAATCTGCAACATTAACTGAATTAGATAATTTTAGCTTAGCTTACACCGTTCGTTATACATTAAACGCGCACGCCAATGCGCATGCGTCAACGCGACGCAAGCGTAGAAAGTTTGTAGCTTTGAGGTCGGGATTATGGGTGTCCGAATTAACGACTTTTGACTGTAGTAAATTTTTAAAGCAACGACCATACAAAGTAAAATGTAGTTTTAAGTTTTAAATCTTCCTAACTAAATTTCATGCAATGAAAGTAAAGTTTAAAAAAAGACATATAATTTTAAAATGTTTTTATTAACCCCTTAACTGCCGCGGAAAATGTACAAGATTCATTTCCTAGTGCCACGGTATTTCCCACAGGCGCACATAGTTATGCGATGTATTAGAGGGAAAATAAGTGCAAGTTTTACTTTCTAAGAACTGTTTACTTTCACAAAATAAAGAATAAAAGAAAAAAATGAGTGCACAAAATTTAATGTTTTGAGTAAAAGTATAATAAAAAGATGTAAGTATAATAAAACAATGTTTTCATAATAAAAAAGATCCCTAAAAAGTGGTTTCGATCAATTCATTTTTACACCAGTAAAGTGTAAGTAATATCAGGTTTCAGTGTTATACCTTGTGAAATCAATATGCCTAAAAAACATACGCAGGTTGAGGCAATGATTTTCTTTCTTGAAGATACCAGTCCGGATGAAAAACGACATATACAGATGAAAGGACAAGGTCTTAACTACATGTGTGGACAATGAATATCACTGAAATGTCATAACACACGAATTACGGTAGTATACAGGGCAATATGGCCTTCACCGTGCAAAAGAACGATAACACAATAACATATAAAGTTGACATGACAAACCTGGGCCTAAAGACCCTCAATGTAGTCCGCTGCTACCGTCACCACACGCTGCCAACGATGTGGGAGGCGCTGAATACCATAAGCCTCAGCATTTGCTGCACCATGTGTGAATCGGGTCATCTGTTGGCGCACAGCATTAGAAATGCCCTCTCGTGTTGCAAACCGCCTACCACATATTGGTTCTTTAATCTTTGGAAATAAGATCAAAGTCACAGGGCAAAAGGTCAGAAGAATACGGTGGGTGCTCCAATTCTTCCCATCCCCAACGTCTGAGTAGCTGCTGTACACATTCTGCTTTATGTGGTCTTCATTGTTGTGCAGAATTATTGCACTGTCCACAAGATCCGGACATTTATCCCGAACGCCATGTTGTACCTGTCACACCAGGAAGTCCCTGTAGCATTGCGTGGTCACTGTTCTTCCACGAGGAACAAAGTGGCAAACAATGACACCCCTTACGTCATACGCGACAATCACCATCAATTTGACTGGCGAAGGATTCTGACGGACCTTCTGCTGCCTTGGTGATCCAGGATGTCACCACTCTGTGGAGTGACATTTCAGTTCTGGTTCGTAAGACCTGGCCCAAAATTCAGCGATGGCAATTATTCGTGACAGGAATCGATCGCCGTCCTGTTGCCAGTGTGCAAAGTGGTCGAAGCCTATTGCATAGCACACCCACCGCAAAGCAAGTTTGCGTAGCTGTAGCTCATTACGCAATATCCTGTGGATGGTAAGTTTCTCAATGCTACTTGCCTTGCCCTCTCTAACTCCAGTAACGTCCATCATCTGTCTTCATTCATGAGGTACTCGATGACGGCAAGTGCCAAGTAGGTCCGCACACCCACTAGTCATCCTGAACATTGTTCATCACTGGTTGGCATACGTCTTTGCTGAAACTTTCCCATCTACTGTGCTACTGTACAATATGATAGGGCATTATTCCTAAGGACTTCTACTAATTCACTATGACATTCCATTTCTCCCTCAGAGAATGGCTATTTTGATGTAAGCACGCTGCTCAACACTGGTTACTTCCATCTCGCACGACACTCGCCAAATGACCGATTTCTGAGCCCTCGCTACCACAAAGTCAGCTATCGCAGAGCCATCTGTTCTTTGCATACACATTATGCCTGCAAAACTTCCATACGACACATATACGTTTTGTGATCCGTTCACATATCTACAAGAAAAAAAATAGTTACGACGACTTTTGCCCCAACTCTCGTATATTTCTTCTGAACTGGTTGAATGTCACGATTTTGTTCTTGATTTTTAGTTTGCAAGGTGTTGGTTCATATACTCATCTACAAAATGGTTATGAAGCACAAGCAATTCATCAAAAAATAATTAAAAAAAGATAAATGGGTTTGAAACATCCGTTATATCGTTCTTTATTCCTGGAACCTATTACAAAAAGTAAATGAAAACGGAGGACACAGAATACGTTTTACTCAAACAATACCAGCCAATACTTTCACCGCTTTAGACACACCCCTCTCTCCAATTTCTACCCACACTTCTCTGAAATAGTATCCTTCTTCGCATACTTTGTCAAGCTAATTGTGGTGCTGCATTGCAAAGCTTTGCGAATAATTTTACGGGTAACAGCGCAAAGCAAATGATCGTATTTTGGAAGGGCATATCTATATACACCCAGAGGAATTAATGCATTGGCTGAGCAGGGCATATATATATATACCCGCGGCAGTTAAGGGATTAATTCTAATGTAAAATAAGAACACTTATTTCTACTACATAAATTTCAATTCTTTGAATAGACATAAAAATTTAAACTTTTCAGATGCTATTTACACAAATATTTTGCTCACAAATATACTAAAACTACATTTTGCTCAATGTTTTAGAAGTAAACTAACTATTGGCTATACTTTAACATTTCTGAAAATTTTTTTGGAATATTTTAGACACCACCAAGAGATGTTATGAAGAGTCATTTTTAGAATATGTACAAATTTATGGCAACATTGAGACAACATGCATAAAAACTTGCTGTGACAAAGAATCCACCAAAAATAACTGCAAAAACTGACAATGAAAACAACACAGAAAAAAGTAATGGCATGCCAAGATCAACTGAATCGGGAGGATGCACATTCTAAGAAAACACCTTGAAATAAAGGTGCTGATCAAACAAGCTACCAGCAATTTTAAAATTATCGAGAATTCAAAAAACTTAATATGAAAGACAGATGATAGTTATAAGAGATAAAACATCATCAACAATGTAATTATTTAAATCAATTACTTGAAAAATTTAAAACTGATATCACAATTTAAAAGACTCAAATTGCCATTGCTAAATTCAACTGCGTAACACACTCAAATGTGTTTAGATTGGAAGTGATTTTAATAAACAGCAGCAATTGTATACTACTAAGGGTTGAGCACCAATTTTATCATCAGACTGTATGCCTTACGTATCAATAACCATACAAAGAAATATTAACACTGCCACCATTAGCTTTTTATGCCCAAATGATACTAGTTTTTTAGGGGAGGAGGGGCAGTTTCAGATAGTATATGCTTTTCTCTGAAACCTATATTTTTTGTGAATAAGAAAAGGCAATCCATGATTTCAGTGAAAGTCTAATGTCAGTACTCCAGTAAATGCATTTATTTCTGAGAACAAATTCTTACGACCTTATACAGTTAATGAAAACTTATACAGTGAAGAACTGTTTCTCCATCAAATCCCATTTGCAACAAGGTTTGCCATATAGTTGTTCCAGAAAACAAACTGGAAGCCCCTGCGGTTCATTCTGAGAGTAAATAACTCAAGCAGCATGCAAAATGCCCCATTTTAACTTGCATAGCCAATGCTCGCCTCTTGCATCAGTATCTTAAGATACCTCACACTGGCCTACAGTAAGTCATCAGAAAGGTCCCATATTAATCTTTATATGGTACAAATGCTTCATGGACATGGTTCATTTCTTTTTCGAAGGCTCTCTACACAATGGCAACACTTCACAAAGGTGTCAATGATGTCATATTCCTGAGATGACAGGTCCTACAATAAGTCATAGAACTGCCTTTCATAAGACAAGAGACACTTTCTCATCTTCAAGTTGGAGGGTGTGCTTTTTGGCACACAGTAAGTATATCTTAAATGCAAGCTTCAGACATCTCAGATTTGCTGCACATGTGAGCAGTCTTTCAGCTTGGTGCTTTATGTCAGCTGCACGGTAAAATGAGTTTTTGAGAGAACTTTTAAAAACAGTACTGAAAAGTACCGAAAGTGTCTCATTATTTAGCCACTTTTGAGAAGTTTCGCAAAGGTAAAAAATAACGTTCGCTAGACACATTTGATCAAAGTTCTTGACCCATCTGTTGGTAGCTTGTTGGTTGTCCCTGACAAAGATACGGAGGCTTCTCGGTAGCTGGTATAGATCAGTATTGGTGCAATATTATTCAGGATGAAGCTAGCTCCTGCAGGAGCTTCTGCTCAGTTTCCCTCCTATCAAACAACATCTTTCTTAATCTTCTATAATTCTATAAGAGACCAAACTCGGGTAGAAGTTCTCGAATACGTTGGTTTTAGCATAACTCTTGCATAGTAACAGATTTACCCAGTGCTTTCACCAAACTGCTGGGTAGATGAAATTATCACATTGAGACAAATAAAAAGGAAAGTACTCAAGTCTCAACTCAAGACTATTATTCAAACTGAATAAGTAACCACTGATATACACTTGATGAAAAGGCTGGAACATTCTCTAATAAATTTAACATAAAGGAAATTTAAACAAAAGTTTATTTTTAGATCATTTGCCTTTGATGGCGTTTCGAACTCTGAACCTTGCAAATCTGATGTTTTATCCAATGAACCACGACGTGCTTTATCAAAAGCAGTAATTTTTACTACAATATTTTTAATTATTTCCCAAGCTGTAATGATTAGTGTCCTGTTTTCTCCTTAGCTAGATACAAGCATTGGTTCTGAACTCTGAATGTAATGACTAGACTTTGAACTGGAAGCAAAACCAGATTTAGACTTGATAAGCTATTTGAGATATGGGACTTTTATAAGTTTGTTATAATTTATTTTAATAATATTTATAATTTATTTTAATAATATTTATACTATATTTTAATTTTTTGGGGGGGGGGGCTCTACTCTAAGCTATAGCTTACGTAGCTTATACATAAATCCAGCCTTTACTGAAGTAATGACTGCTGAAATGTTTCACTAATAAACACTGTATTGCTATCCACTGCCCAATGAACTTATGTCACATCGAAATTTATAAGAATTAAAACAGATTGGTGTATTGAAATGTATTGGCAGGTCATATAAAATGCTTTGGAAGCCACAAGCAGACCACAAGTCACTGCTATAGTTTTCAAAATGCTGCTGCCCCCCCCTTCCCGGCCTGGTAATGAATGATCATGCCATTTTTCAGTACCTTAAAGTATATTCTTATATCCATTATGCCACAGTTATTACACTGATAACCTACTATTTATTCACTGAATGTTTGTTCCTGACATCGCAGATAGGCAGTAATCTTAATACCAAACACCATGCAAAAAACCCACCTTCAGTTATCTATTAAAATTTCATAAATAATTTCTCTCCCTTTAATCTTAAAAGATAGTTAATCTTGAAAAATTAACTATCAAGAATATATGGAAAGAAACTTTTCATTCATCGAGTATCTAAACTTTTATATAATATCTTAAATCTCCTTTTAATATAAAACTAAAATATTTAATTATATTTAATTATCAAAATGAATTAAATTTGTACTTCAAAAATTAACACTGTTAATGGTAGATTATGTTCCCAAACTAAAAAATTTTCATTAACAAACCTTTCATTCCTGTTCCGTCTTGATTGAACACATCTTTTTCATCTTTTTGGCTCTCGCTACCACTACCAGAAGATGTAACACTACTTTGTGGTGACAGAGGAGCATGGTCAGTATGCATGTTAGATAGATTACTATGAGATATATTTTCCTGGTCTATATTATTATTAGATGATGTAGGTGAATGACAGTTCTGAGGGGCTAAACTTCCAGGTGGTGTAAGACTGCTGCTCCTTTTGACTCTCGAGTGTGGCATAGGCAAAGTTTGAGTACCATCTAAAATAAAATCAGAGTTAAATAGTTGACCAAAATACAGGCATTGCAAAAAGGTAAAACACTAAAAATTTTTACTATCCAAATTATAAATATGTAATAATCTTAATATACAAATACAAACATAAAACAGTTAAAGATTACTTTTTAGGTGTGCAGAACTAGGCTTTACTTTTTTATATATTCCCCCCCCTTTCCAAATTAATTTAATAAAACAACAATTAAGTTCTTAATGAACTGAATTATTTAAAGTACCAAGATTATCTACTTTACTGATCTTTCTTTTCCAGGAAAATTGAACACAGTTTTCTGTTCACCAATATTTTCTTATTTTATTCTTACTCCATCATATTTTATTCAGAAATTTCAAAGTAATCATTTGCTATGTCTGTGTGCATATATAAACTCAGATTTTCTGTCTTCGAAGAATTTAAATATCTGATGATATCAAGGATTGGGGATTACAAGTATTTTTGCAATGGAATTTAAAGAATTTCCTAATTTGAGTTAAAATTCACACTTTAGTTTTATCACAAGATCATCTGTTACCGTTTTTATTTTTAAAGAAATTACTGGCATTTTAAAACAAAATTTTCAAAAAAATGTACTACTTAATAAAATTCAAAACTATTCTAACTGGACACTGCATGGAATTACCAGTACTTGAAGAGAAAGCAGTTTTATCAGGTTAAACTTATACACACATTTCATTTTATTTTTTATGTATTCTTGAACTGTTCATTTCATATTCATTGTACAATTTATGTGCTACTTCATTTTCGGAACTCAGAGTGGGTCACTTAAAATTATGAAGTCGGTCTCTCGGTGACCTGTGGGTGGTAGGTTGCCACGGCCTGTAGTAATGAATTTGAAATTTTTTCCCATTAATTTCTAGCACTTTATTAAGATGGCATTAAAGTTTCATAACTTTCTGATGAATTCTCACAGCTGTGATGAATGCAGAGCAGATGAACTAATTATAAACACTGTTTATTTCCAGAAGTGCATTTTGTGGTATTACTTTTTTGTGATTCTATAAAACTTTTAATGTTTTTGTCGACTGGTCATTCAAATCTGAAATTTAAAATAAACTTTTTTGAGCTGAGACTAATGCTATGACTGCCGACCAGTGATTAATATCTGTAGCTGGTTCTAACTTAGAATGCAGATCTGTGGTTTTTGGCAAAGAAATAGTTTTAGGTAATATTAACCTAAAACTTTTCCTCTGCCAAAAACTATTCCTCTGCTTTGGCTGATCATACTGCGATTTCTACAGGCAACTCAAATGTAGCAAAATTTGCTCATCCCGCAGGCATGCTTTTCTTCCTTTATTGAGAAGCGGATGATTTAGTCTTTTTTTTCCCGTTTAACCATTGAAATAAATTATATACAGTATTAGGTGTTTAGTTTACGTTTTGGCCAAAAGATATTGTTTGTTGTCCACTAAATTGCGGCATTTGAAGGTACATCGTATTAGCACTCAAACTTCACTTTTTTCTTACAGAAATGGCTGCTAGAAAACGTTCACCGATTATCTTAATTATCTAATTAAATTATTGAATTATTAATTAGATTGATTATTAGCACTCAAACTTCCACTTTTTGCCATTTTTTTCTTACAGAAATGACTGCTAGAAAACATTCAGCAATTATCTTGATTATTTAATTAAATTATTGAATTATTAGATTAATAATTAGATTGATTATTAATTAAATTTATTGAATCTGGTGTAAAGATTGTGAAGTTGGACTTTGCCTTCAACCCTGTTTTGAACTCTATCATGCTAAACTGCATTTCTATTTTCCATTCAGCTCTTTATATTTTCTTAAATTTTATACATTTTACTTTTTTATATTATGCAATAAATAGAAATTAACTGTAATTTATTTAAAAAAAGATTTTTTGGGTGATAACATCTGAAATTGGTTTTTCTGGCGATTTAGTTTCTCATGATAAAAATCTATATAAAAAATATTTTCTAGAAAGAAAAAGTGCATTTTTCAATTCTTTTTTTTTTTTTTTTAAGAACAGGAACCTATATATATAGATTTAAAATCTGTAAAAAAACACAATTTTGGAAGCGAATTTGGTCCACAAATTAAGCAGTCAGAGGGTTAATACTACCTAAAACTATTCCTCTGCCAAAAACGACAGATCTGCATTCTAAGTTAGAACCAGCTACAGATATTAATCACTGGTTGGCAGTCATAGCATTAAATTAGTCTCAGCTCAAAAAAATTTATTTTAAATTTCAGATTTGAATGACCAGTGGAGAAAACATTCAAGTTTTATAGAATCACAAAAAAGTAATACCACAAAATGCACTTCTGGAAATAAACAGTGTTTATAATTAGTTCATCTGCTCTGCATTCATCACAGCTGTGAGAATTTATCAGAAAGTTATGGAACCTTAACGCCATCTTAATAAAATGCTAGAAATTAATGGGAAAAAATTTCAGAATTCATTACTACAGGCCGTGGCAACCTACCACCCACAGGTCACCGAGAGACCGACTTCATAATTTTAAGTGACCCACTCTGAGTTCCGAAAATGAAGTAGCACATAAATTGTACAATGAATATGAAATGAACAGTTCAAGAATACATAAAAAATAAAATGAAATGTGTGTATTTAATTATGGCAAAGCACACTAGGGCCATCTGCCTAAGGGGAAGGATGCCTTCGTGGAGGACTTTCTAAGGGAAACTGGCTCATATACACGTTACACATGGGGAAAACCACGAAAACACCCATACAGCCAGCCCGTTCACGGGATTCGAACCTCGGACCGAACTACCAGTGTTCAGCGACTTTACCGCTCGGCTGCTGGTGGGCATAAAATGAAATGAAAATATTTTCGATTACAGTGTCGAAGTAACGAACATTCATTTTTACAAATCTTAACAATTTCAAGGAGAATGTATAACCAATCTGAAATCAATAATTCCAAAAACTGGTTTTGTCATTTTCTACATCTGGTTCAATTTATAAATGCAAACGTACTCTTGCAATGAACTCTGTAATAATGTTTTCATATATGAATTTTTTTTAAAAACAGGAGGCAGCTCAACTACCAAAAGTTCAGATGCTTGTATTCGTCTTAAGACGACTTAAGATGTATTTACCTAGTTGCTTGTATTTGTCTAAAATGACATCACAAGTCCATCATCAGCGAAGACTTGATAGCCACCACTATAAGCTACCAAATGAAATCTTAAAATAGTGTGTCCAACAGTTGTAGAGTTTATGCCTCGAAATGTCACACATACAAAGACAGGCTTTCTTTTCCAACTTGGCCCTGACGTTATGTTGTCACAAAAGACAATCTTTATAAAATTCTGAAAAACAAAGCTTACAAAAATTCAGGTCAAACAATCAGGTAGACCAAACATTAGAGAAAAAATGACTGTTAACATGGCATTTTCCATCTGAAAAACGACTTCCGAGTAGCTGTGTAACATGACTGATTATGTGCAAAAAGATTTGTTCCAAACAATGTGGGCATGTTAAAACATACCCACGTTGTTTGGAATTCTGCAATACTGATGCATATCCCTGCCTGACAGTACAGTATGTCACAGTAGCTATGGGAGTGAGCTCTTAAAGTAGGACCCAAAAATGAATGACAGATAATTTGCATCATACTGTTACTTTAGATTAGTATTAAGGAAAGAAAGGAAATCATCTGAAGTTCAAATGTCATACTTATGTATGTTAATTGCTTCCATTCGAAGGAAAACATGCCTTAATCATCTTTTCTCTACTTAAGGAAAAAAATTGCTAATGAGCAGATTAGTAGTTTTATATTTATTTCCAAAATGCCCCACAATCAAGTTCTGCAGATTTTAATTCTGTCATTATTTTATTGGTTAATAAAATTTTCCCTTATTCTTCAGTGCATTAAAAGCTGCTAGAACAAGTAACACACTATAAATATGTAAGAAAAATAATGACTATGTAAAAGATTAAACTAGCAGCATAAATTAATTTTCCTTCTCTATTCTAAAAATGGTAATCTCTGCGCTGCATTTCAAGATTAATCCATGTCATATGACTTACACAATTCTGATAATGTAAATGGAACTAAAACTCAAACAGCCAATGGTAATTTTACAGCAGTATTAATTATCCAATCAAAATTCATTGAGAACAACAAATTAATGCATTCTGAATTAAAATTTCACCCTAAACATGATGCACTTATATAGTACTTTGGCCTAGTTGGACTGCAGTCTGTCTGCTCCTTTGTTCTTATAACAAATTTATCAAAAATGTAAACTTTTGGAATAGACATAAATAATGTGCCAACTTGTTTGTTGCTGTAACATGTTTGCTGAAATAAAAGTTGAATTAAATCTATCTCAACTCCCAAATTTCTTATTCACTGCGGATTGGAGTTTCAACATCTCCAAACATCAAAATTCTCGCTGTTCATTACAGATTCAACCACCTGCATTCTGCTACATATATATAATGTTTTATTTCTTTTTCCAAGTGTTTCAAAAGCATGTACGGAAAATTCTGGATACATTCGAGATTTGATTTTTTGGTTTTAAGCGAATTTTAATGTCTTAAATGAAAATTTAATTGAACCTTTTTTGGTTTTTGATCTGGAATGAACCAGAAAGACGAAACATGTTTCCGAAACATATTAATAGATATGTATGAAGAATTATTTTAATTTTGATATGTTTAGATACAGTGCTAAACCTCTTATCCACAGCTGCAATTATTAACATTGTTGAACTGTCTTGCTTTGATTCCAATTTAATTTTAACTTAAGATGCTATTTCCGAATACATGTTTTGCTCCTCTGAATCACTTGAAACTCAAAACCACTTTAGTATCAAAGCTTCACTTCAAAACATTCTAGTCAACTTTACACTTTAAAATAATGCATATATTAAGTCAGTGATTCCTGAGTTTTAGCTCCATGACCCACGAAAAGACTATGAAAATGTAATAATTGCAAATATATAAAAACTTCAAACTTTGTTTTGTTACACAATTTGAATTTTTTCAAATATTTACTTTCTATGTCTTACCAAAAACAATCAATACCCACACTCAAAGGACTACCGTACTTCATCACTAACATATTTACTGTCAATCACACATTAGAGAGTGGTGTGGTATTATTCACAAGCTAATGATGCATCAGTAATGCATTAGTAAGATATATTATTTTCATGTTAGTCAGCATTGCATAGGTGCATGTACGTGTATAAACAGAATAGTACATTCAGTAAATTCAATTGTTTTAGTTTTGAGGTTTTACATTTTCCACATAAAATTTGTTCAAAATTTTCCCACGATATGAATGATTTAAATGACCAATGCCTTCTTGTTTAACTCAGCAAGATAGTACAAAAGGCTTAAAAAGGTAAAGAATTTATGCAATATTTACAAGACAATTTATCAGATATGTGTATGAGTAAATTCAATTCAGATGAAGAATACATCTCCAGGGCAGATGATTCTGAATAATCAGTATGAAATAAGCAAAAAATAATGCAGAAATTTCAGTATAACAAAGTCTTATCCTAAAAAATGTAATTTGGAAAGATAGTCTACACTGATGAAGATTTTACCCTTGACTTAGAGTGGCTTCTGGTAAAGCTTCTTATACTTACCTGGTAGCAAATGAGTGTTAACAGTTGTAAAATCATTTGCTCAACTTTTTATTAAAATTAAATTTAAATAATTTTGCCTCTCACTATAAAAAAGATTACAGCAATTTCAAAAGGATAGTTGCAATTCTAATTGTTCCTGAATGATCAACAACATAACAATACAATCTAAAAACATTTAGGATAAATTTCTAATTTTTTTCCATTTCAATTTCATTTAAGTTATAAATTTTTAAACAGCATAAAAATTACCAGGATGAGATGAAATCCCACTTGATGGTGCAGAATTCATACCATGTAAAGACATGTGCTGACTACCAACACCAGGAGGTAAACTGTTGCTTCCCAAACTATTCAGAACTGAAAATCCATTCATTTCTGCAGGGGAATTACCATTGATACCCACCAGGGCTCCAGGCCTCCATAAGTCCAAACGAGGTATCACATTCCCATATTGGCAGTTACCAAAACTCTCCAAGGATGGAGTTTGAAAAGGTCCATTCGTAGGATTAATCACAATACCATTACTATAATCAGAAACAGGAGGATAAACAGGATAGTTATGGATTCGGTCTTCTAACTGACGTAGCCACTGTGTCAAGGTACAGCGATCTTCATTAGATATGGCCGGATGAATAAGGGAGTACGACAAGAGTTGCCGACTTTCTTCAATATGAACACTGTGTCGAATCGAATGTGCTAAAATTTTTGGGATGAGAGCAAGATATTGTGCCTTTGCATCATCATTTCCAGGCCGAAGCAATGGCAAATGTGAAAGAAGTTGGCTAACTGCAGTTTCTTTACTTTCTGCACTCAGACTGCTGATGAATGCTGCAATATAAAATTTAAATTAAAATAAAGATGGAACATAAAAATTTAATGTTACTAGGTTTTATTATCTACATTAAAATTAATTTAATATTAAAAATATCAGGAAAAAATAATGTATGAAATAGGATGAGAGGAGAAAATTAACATTTAAAAGACAGTTTAGTTAAAATGAAGCATTCGAGGACTATCTGCTTTAAAAGCAATGCCTTTATGTTCATCTTTGCAGAAAATTAGCTTTTATTCATATCAAACATGGAAAACCACCAACTTCAAATATTTAATCCATTTTGCAAGAATTAGACCTGGAAAGGAATTACCAATGTCTTGATTTTATTCCTCTCAGCAACAAACTAAATAAATTTTAAAGTTATATTCAGCTATAAAACAATTTTATAAATGTTTCTAATTTGAAGAAGCATATTACATAGTTCTGAATGAGATTTATTCCACATACTACTCGCAATGACAAAAATAAACAATTCAAAAACACAAGAATATTAAATGGACAAAATCAGTATAGGATGAAGCCACCAAGCGCTACAGTAACAGCTCAAAATTGAATTGAATTAACAGGTTTTGAATGCATACCTGAGGAACAGCATTCCATAATATTTTATTAAAGGCTGAAAGTCATTCATGTTAGCTACAAAATCAATGTCACAAGTAACTTCTCTAAAATTAAAATCCTAGACATATTCAGTAGTTAACATATCTGGTGAATGGAAAGGCCAAAAAAGTAACGATATCAGACATATTAAGCAGTAGTCAAAAATTTCTAGCAATAGGTAGATAAACACTGTTCGGTTAAAACAACATCTTCAGGAAGGCATTGAATGAAGGGCAAGACTTTCGGCTTTACAACCTCTCTGATGAAGCAACTGTTAATCAGAATACATTCAATTCTTAGCAAACAAGACAGCCCATCATACCCAATGGCATCCTAAGTCATCAACGCTTGGTGATAGTATAGTACAAAACTGGATAATAAACTTCAGAAAATGGCAAACACCTCTATAGTACCTAATGTACAGGGAGTCATAAATTTACTCACTATATGAACCTCTAGCAGGTTAAAGCCAATTATTATTTAAATGTATTTGCTTGAGCCTGATGATTTAAAACAATAGAGCTCTCACGGTTACTGTGAAAAAAAATTTCGAAAAGCAACAACCACTTTTTTCCTGGCCAAATTGATCAGCACATTAAAAAAATTTAAAAAGTTATATTTGCACTGTAAAGGACCATTGACAACACAAGACAGAAGGGGAAAAACTTACTTGGAACTATAAATTTTCAATGTGCCCACCTGTACAGATGATAACGTACAAGGTGCAACAAATAAAAAAAAACGAGACTGGCCCAATAAATCATTGTAATTTCAGAATTAGTTTCATGTGACACTATCACCTTCAAATTAATCTCCTTTGACATTCACACACTTCTGCATTTGGTGCTGCCATTGCTGGTAACAGTTCTAGAAAGAAATTTTTGGAAGACCCTTAAGGAGATTCTCTGTTTTTGTCTGAACCTCTTCAACTGAAGTAAAATGGCTTTCATTTAAGAAAGATTTAACTTTTTTTATTTCCTAAAGTCGCATGGAGACAAATCAGGTGAATAAGAGGATGCCCCATCACAGTAATGTTTTTGCTGGTCAGAAACTGCTCGACAGATAAGGCCACGTGAGTGGGTGCATTATCCTGGTGCAACGGCCATCCATTGCTCCACAACTGTGGACTTTTCTCCCTAATTTTTTATGAAGTCTTTTTAGTACTTCAATGTAGTAGTGTTGATTAACAGTTTGACCACTGGGAACCCATTCAACCATATGCCCAGCACCCAAGGGGGCGTCCAGCTCATTCATCCTCTTCCACACTGTCCCTCCACCCCTGAAAACCACCCACGGCATTCAAACACATGCGAATGAGACAAGGTTTCATCTCCATAAGCCTTTGTTAACATTTGAAATGTTTCCTCCGTGGCTGATTTCTTAAGTTTCACAAGACACTTTATGTTGATTTGCTGTTCAGTTTTTATATTAAACATTTTTTTCGGAAGAATGCAGTTGCACATGTTCATTCAACGACACAGTATTCCCAACTGGTACAATCGGCTAAGTCGAAACTGGCTGCATGGATAGAGGAGGTGTGTGGGATGATGCCACCAAAACAGTTGTTGTCAACTCCACTCTTTTCAAGCTACACGCTTGGTCTTTTTTTTATGTGTGTCACACCTCTTATTCTACACAGGAGACTATTGATAGCAACAATGAATGTAACGTCTCAGAAGGAATCTATATAACTTTACATTTTATGAGACCTACAATTCTGAAAAATCTTGTGGATTTGATATGTACACCTCAGATTTCAGATACTCCAGAGCCAGAAATCCAATGAAGTGAGATTCAGAGATCATTGTGGCCATAAAACTGTAAAGTTTGGAAGAACTTGACCTTGTAATTCCAAGAAAAGCCTTTTCCCATATTCTCTCTTGTACTGTCAATGGTCCTTTATAATATTCTTCATACCAAATGTTTTAAACTGGCAATTTTCATCATCAGCATATTGTTCCAATGTCAGTTTTTCAATGTGCTGATAAATTCTTGCAGGAAAAAAGTAGGTATTGCTATTTGAAAATTTCAAAGCTGTTTTCTCTGCAACCGTAATTATGATAGTTCTATTTTAAATCATCTCAACTGGTTGAGCGGATAACCACTAAGAATACATATATGGGAGAAGTTTTTTGATGATCATTCTGTATATTGAACCATCATTACACTTCAGAATGAAACAAGATTTATTGAGAAATCTTCATTCATTGCCTACCAGCATCCGAGTGATTATGTTGATGGGCCCGCCATAGCCAAAGATTTTGTGTCAGGAAAATGATATACAAAAAAATAAATGCACACCATACACAGTGTAGCAGATGCTAGCAAAACTGAAGATGACACAATGGCATACAGAAAGCAGTGCTCCAGTGTTGTGCCAACTGTTGAGATAAAGCTGCATGGCCATTTACTTTCAAACAGATAAATATTGATGTAACAGTCTATTGCTAGGTTTCTGACTTATCTGGTACTCTTGAGCTCACTGCTTCCATAAACAGATCACTGGCAATAGAATATGACATTAAGATTATATGAGCTGCTATATTTCAAGACAGAAAAATCCTTCTCACAAGCCAAGTATCTCCCTCTGTTCAAATAATGCAACTTAATTGTATCAGGCCCCTTTGCCATCTATGAAATACAGTGACTTCTCATGAAATGATTACTGCTGGCAGATAACTTTTTTTCCCATTTTTTTTTACATCAACCACTTTTAAAGAAATTGTTTTCTTGATGGACCTGCTTACATTGTTCTCCATAATTATACAGTAAACAGTAATCGTAATATAATATTTTACAGAAATAATTTAAAAACAATAATTAGATTAAAAATATGAGCAAAAGTTCAGAAAAAATCATTTATTAGATTTATGCTCACTTTAATTTTACAAGTACAAAAGTTTTTAGAAACAAAACCACTAGCTCCAACTGCAGAAAATGTGAATTTTAATGATAGCTGCACTTGATATATTACAAGCCAACCATGATTACATGTTTAATACTTCAAGTAAGACTATAAAAAACATGGGACAAATCAAAATTACACATACAGCCAAGCTAGTACCACCATTAGATAAAAAGCCAGGGACAAAATTACCAGAGCCTTGCTGCTTCAGGCATCAAGCAACTGGTTTAAAAAGCAAGTTTTGGAGGCTTAATTTAAAACACAGAAAGCCCAAATCTGAATAGAAGTCATCGATCCTAGTAAAATTTTTAGGATAACTTCAAAATTCATCTTAAGCTTAACAATTTTAATTTTAAAGCTCCTATTAAGTCCAATATATTTTTTAATAAAATCAAGTCTAAATACATTTTTAAAATTACACTAATCAAAATATTGGTTATAAAATCAAGTATTTAATATTTCTTTTAATAGATTGGTTTTCCTTGACTGGCAGATAATGAAGGGGAAAAGTTAGAAGTAACAGAAGATAAAAATTAAAAGTTTAGTTTAAAAAATTCCCTTTAAAATTGAAAAGATATAAAAATTTTATTTTTTAGAAAGCAAATTATAACTTACATTTTATTACAATTACTTTTCTACACACCTATTCTGTTTTAATATTTGTGTTTTAGAGGAACTAAGATTAAATTTGACCTTCACAGACAAACTTCAACCTTAAATGGGTATTACTTTATAAAAAATGGATTTGCATTTTAATATATCACTTTAATTGATTAATAATGCCCACTTTTAAATATAGGTAGCACATTTCCCATATTTTTCAATATTAAAAACAGAATAATTTACATTTTCAAACTGACCTATGCCAGATTCCAAATATATATAACCATTTTATGAAATTAATTTTTAGCTCCTTCAAGTTATAACAAGATAGAGAATATCATTTGGCCTAATTTTGACTATCTACAGTTTTAGAATATTTTATATGATGAAAATTAAAAATTCTAAGGCTGAAAATTTATCAACTAGTTTATTCAAATTTAAGTTAGCCCACTTCCAGAATGACAGCTCAGACAATTCAGACAGTTTTCTACATGTCAAACATTCCATGTCGTAAACTGTAGCAAGAGTTTTGCTGTAAAATTCAACAGATTTGAAGTTAATGCAACTCATATTAGAAACAAATTTTATTACTTTTAGAGCAAAAGCCTTTTTGTTGATATTAAATTTAAGAAATTCTCCGAGAATAATGAAATCATACTTGAGAAAAGTGGTAGGATCGCATTATTAAATGGGTGTAATGAACTTTAATTCAATTAAACATCTTAAACTATGATAGGTAAATAAAAGTGAAATGCAACATCCCATACTCAAAGTATGCACGAAAACTATTTCACTTTTTACAGTTTGTTTACAAGTTGCTGTCTAATTAAAATCAATAAAACTGACTAGTCAATAGAATGAAAACAACGCAAGTGTAACCAATGG